CCCAACAAATGACAATTACTAAAATAATTCCACCTGGAGTCCCTCCGGTAGCTACTGCCGGTCTTAAGCCCGGATAAAGGAGAAGGGTTGAGTATGCGGTAGAAAACTAACTCGATAAAAAAACGCTAACCAGAAAAAATTATTCAAACCATTAAAACTCTGCCCTGGGAATCAAAATGACTTCATTTAGAAGAGTTATGACGCCTCATGATGAAAGCCGAGTCCCTTCGGTAGTTATGAGGCTGATGCCTCTTCTGAAAACCAAAGCAACCATTTATTAAGGTACTTCTTATGAATAATATCATGTTATTATCGTATGTTAGTACTCGTAGCATCTTTATCAGGAAATGTTGATAGTTACTATGTAAATAAGAATTTAGTATTTGTATCAATCCTTTATATCTATATAAGACTTTATAAAGTAGATGATAATTGATTAAACATGTTTAAAAAATTTCAATAGTTGAGATTATGAGTGAATTGAAATTAGAGTAGCATTGAAAACTTCAAATTACTGAACAACCGTTTCGTCTTAATGTAAGACTCCACAACAACAAAAATCCTCTTCTGTTATTTAGAAAAGATTAAAATTACAAATTAGACGATGAATATCCCTAATGGTAAACACTTAAAAAGTTACAATTCAAATGAGTTTTACAATAATGATGAATAAAATTATTGACATGATAAGTTTTCTATGGGTAGCAATTTTTAGGATTCATTATATATATATATATATATATATATATATATATATATATATATATATATATATATATAAGAGATTAAATAACAAATAAGACCGGGCACATATATGCATCGTTCCAAGTTACCATACCTCATTAACACAATATGATGAATACCGAATTTATAGAAGTAGTTAATTCAGTGATGGTAAGAGATAAAAGAAAGATTGCATATGAGGAGATAGTACAGGAAGAAAGAATTAGTTCGTAGATAGAAAGATATGAAGTGATTTTAATCTCTTAGTTTAAAGGAAGAGAGAGAGTGTATATATATCGACGTCACTGTGATCGATTCTGAGTCATGTCACCATGAATACCAGATATATAACTTATTTATTGACTAAAGTTTCCCTTATAATGTATTTACAGTTCAATTAATTGAATTATGCCAGGACAGAGTTGGATAGATAATACTGGTGATTGGCCTATGCTCCTTCACAAGGAGTACGAGGCGTAAGTAAGTAAGTAAGTAAGTAAGTAAGTGAACCATAAATTCAATTCTTTAGCTTTTCATTGTTGATGTTAAAAATAACTTATTGTTATTTGAGTACATATCATAAAAGTAATTACATTGATTAGTTAAATAGAAAGAATATGTATTTGTAAAATCTTAATGAATGAATTTTAAGTAAAATCCAACATTTTACTTGATAATCTGATTCAAGCTATTTCAAGAAAATATAATCAAACATCAAAATGATCAAATATAAATAGGTGTACATAATTCTTCGATTCACAATATACTGAATAGATCATCTAATCATCGTTAATAATGTTTTGAAGTAGGTATTTGTTTTACTGTATAATAAGTCATGTAGTGATGTAATGAAAAAAATATATAAATGATACATCAATGCAACTGAATATAAGAGTGAAAACAAACACCAACTATACTAAAAAAAAACACATACCTAAATCTTTAGTTGAAATAAGAAAACTCGTGAACAAATCAGCGATAGTATTACACTCAATAAAATCAATTGATTTCAATGGCACATGAATCTTTAAAAAAAAAGGCTTTCATTCTTACAAAGAGAGACTAACAGCCAAAACCCTATATATATATATATATATATATATATATATATATATATATATATATATATATATATATATACAAATCCATACGGTATTAATAGGAGAGATGGAATACAATTAGCTGTCCCATGGCAACTAATAAATAATTAGTCAACCTTAACTCCATATTTCCATTTTATCTAACTAGTATTATCTAAATAACAATAATTGCATTCAGTTATCTTTATTCTGAATATATTAAACAATTAAAAGGAGAACATTAGCATAATACAAACTTTTAATTCGATTTTGAAATTTCTTCTCATTTACGTTTATACACAATCTATTATGTTATTACATTTTTTTGTTATATCATTACATGTATCATTATACATACATTAAAGCAAATAGTGATTAGATAACCTATTCAGTATACAGTGTAAATCAAAGAATCATGTACCGTCCATTTATAATCGATAATTATGATGTTTGATTACATGTTCCATGAGAAAAAAAATTGCTTGAACCAAACTATCAAGTGAAATGTTAGATTTATTTGAAATTCATTCAATAAGATTTTCATAAATACAACATTATTATTATTATTATTATAAGCTTTATTCAACATTATATTTTTGGTACACTATTGAATTCTCAGCATAAAGTATTTCAACAAGTTTCCTTTACTTATATCTTCATCGATCCTGACGATAAATATTGAATGATAGCTAGTTAGATATTAAGAGTTCGATAATCAATATCTGAATAATGTTCATACGTTTCAATGCATATTACAAACCACCATGATGTTGCTCGTTGTACCTTTTTGTAATCCGTACAGCGAAAGATAGTGAACTTTTCATAAACACACCCTGAATAGATTGTCAGCTCAATAAACATAATAATGTGTTAAAACAAACAAGAAAACAGATCACTTGACGAAATATCTAAATAGGAGGAACAAGTAGCCCAGATATTCATGCAAGCCGCTTTAATAATATTTCCCATAAATTCAATATTTAAATCATATTGAAATGATTCAATTAAATTTAGATAATAATTTTTATTTATTAAACAATTATATCCAATTACAAATTGATTGGTTAATCGTATGATTATCAATAAAATGTTTCATTTTAATTAACTATGATCAATAATTTTAGATTAAAGGAACAGATTATTACAATTTATAAAAAAAAAAGTTTATACAATTTCAATAAATAATCTTATATTGATAAACAATAAGTTTAATAATTCACGATTTATATTGGAAGTTGATCATTAAAATATCGATCATAATTTGATCATAAATTAAAATCAATTATGAATTAAGTTTGTAATACTTTTTAATAAAAAATAATACAAACTATTTTCATTAATTGAATAGGTTATGAACTTTTGTAAGATATAATGATAATTTCAATGGTTAAGATCATAAATTAATTGAAGTTAAACCATCATAGAAAAACCTGGAAGCACTGGACGGCCGTTTCGTCTTAGTTTGAGGTTTCTCAGCAGTGCGCATCCATGATCCCGTCTCCCACCGGTGAGAGTCAAACCCAGAACCTATAAGTCTCGTACGCAAGCGCTCTACTTCTACATCACTGAGCTGGTCGGCATTCAATAGTGTTAATGTTTAAGTTCAATTCATCCACAAAATTGAGCAACATATCCACCATTTTCATCAGTGAGTTACTAACTCACAACAGACTTGATTGAACTTCACTGGTCATTACTTTTCATTAGAACTCCAGGAAATACCTAGTGAACATATGTTGATTAATATCGAAATGCGTACTACTGAGAAGTTTCACAATAGAAAAAATAGCCATCCATTGGCTTCTAATTTTTTCATGATGGTCTAGTTTCAATTAACTCATGATCTCAACTATTGAAATTATTATAATATCAACAAAAACTCTTTTAATAGTGATAATTTCCAATTTATTTAATCATTGATATCAAGCATAAAAATGTAATTACATTTTGATTTGAAGAATAAGAATACCATAATTATTTTAACAAATATATATAAATACTTATTATCTAAGTAGATTGAAAGTTTCAATAATACACATACTTCTATTTGATCTAAATGATCATAGCTAATCAAATAATTGATAATATACACAATGAGAATTTATTTTAACATGAAGTAAAAGAAAGTAATCAAAAGATAGTAATCACTTGATGTTGTTATTTTATTTGTATCTTCTAATTGTTATGTAGGATTGCAATTGATCAGTCTCATGTTGACATATATGGATCCTGTGCATATTGCCTTAAGTCACAAACATTTTAAGCAAAGATAGATAATGGCTAGTAAGCTGAAAAGGAAGTCCTAGATTCCACTACTAGCCACTATCCTTCTTTATTCAAAATATAGAAACTTGTTGTGTTTTTTTTTAAAGTGCCACTGTATTGCACTGTATTACACACACACACAGACGCAAGGAAATTGATCAATCAAATATTTCTCAATAAACATTGTTAAGTAGAAATATTAAATAAACTATAGGGTATTGTTCATTTTACTTAATAATAATGTTATACCAATAGTTCAAATCATGAATCATTTGAAGCTAAACAACGATGGAAAACCTGGAAGCATTGAAAGGCCATTTCGTCTTAGTATGCGACTCCTCAGTAGTGTGCATCCACAAGTATTGGTTGAAGTTAGACATTAACACCATTGGATGACGGCTAGCTAAGTGGTTAAGTGCTTGCATGCGAGACTGATAGGTCCTAGGTTCGAATCTCACGGGGGGGGGGTAGGATCTTGAATGCCCACTGCTAAAAAGTCTTATACTAGACCGAAACGGCCATTCAGTACTTCCAGATTTTCCATGGTGCTCTAGTTTTAATCCACAAAACCCTTTGTAATAACAATGTTATACATTAGCGATATTACTGGTAACTCACACAGAAACAGATAGAATATATATCTATATACAATTATAAGATATAATACTTTCCTATAATTCCTTCATTGCTTATTTATTTATCTATCAAACATGAACATTAACATTGTCATGAATGTATCTCAATTAATGAATAATGAAACAATAGTTAATTCATTAATTCAATAATTCAATAATTAATTAAATAAACAAATAAACAACAATTAAATTGTATTTGTAATCATCAAAATGATCAATAAAATTACTAAACAAATCAACAACAAGAACAACAACAACAACGACAACAACAACAACAAAAAAGGAGGGGGTAGCTCACTTTCATTGCTAATGAAATTGTATTAATTAATATAAATATAAAAATGCAATATTCAAATGGTTGTGATGTAATAAACCACCATATTCTATATTGAAAATTTTCTTTTGGTATATAACGTTTCACTGGTCTAGCTTTCAATGCAAATTCAATACATTTACGCTAAATATATGTGTATATATATATCGAGAGAGAGAGAGAGAGAGAGAGCGGGGGGGGAGGAAAAGGGAAGAGAAAGGAATAAGAATATATATATATATATATATATATATATATATAAGAGGATATGTATTTTATATTTCATTTACAACTTCAATAAAACAAATCACCATAGAAATAAGTATACACATAATACATTTTTAAAAAAAAAATTATATAAAATAATCAAGTACTTAATATTTATATTAATCTTTCTTCTTGAGGTATTTTAACTATTGTATGTGGTTCAGGTTGTTTTATTATATTTGCTTCATTTTCCATATAATTTGGTTGATATATTCCATGTGATGCACGACGTTTTTGTAACCAACGATATAAAAAATAACCACCTATTATTAATCCAATTAAAACTAATATTGGTATAATTATGATAATTGCTAATAATCCTGGACTAAGTTCAGATTTTATTTGTTCATTTATTATTGTACTATTGGAACTATTCAATGATGATGTTGATGATGATGATGATGATGATGATATATCACGTCTTACACGTCGTAATACGCTATGATAGGGATTAGTCTCTTCAATATTTAATATAAAATTACAATCAATAAATGAAATACAAAATTCTGAAAAATCATTTAAATCATTATATAATAAACATGATGGATATATCATAGAAGAGAATAATTCACCATATAATTGATAATCAATATTATTAGTATTATGATTATCTTCATTATTGATTATTGTAAACATAAATATATAAATATAATCTTTCCATTGAATTAATCGATATTTAATAGTATTAGATTCAAATAATTGATTTATATATTTTATTGTTACAAATAATTGATTAGGTTGTTGATAATTTAATTGAAAAATAGCCCATAAATGATTCAAATCATAAATATGATTTGATTTAATATAGATTTTTGTTAAATTAATTTGTGAATTTATTGATTTTATATAAGGTATATGAAATAATAAACAAAACTTATTTAATTGATAAACATTCTGAAATGATGATGATGATGATGATGATGATGATGATAATGATAATGATGGGGATAAGGATAGGGATAAAGATGAAGATAAGGATGATATGAAAGAATCTTTTGAATATTTTATTAAATAATCATTTAATGAAATTTTTATTGATTTTAATGAAATTTTTGGAATTATTAATTGATTATGTAGATGATTATATCCTGATAATAATAATAATAATATGATTATTTTAATCCATACCATATTAATATAATGATCCTTGGATTGATTTTAATGAATTATACTTTTAATATGATCTAATTTATTAAATCTAATTATAATGAATGTATGTTGAGTTTTGAAATGAATTAACTTACATGGATTTTCTTTTTGTAAGTTTTATTGATATGAATACTAATACTACTACTATTAATACTAATACTACTGATAATAATAATAATGATAATGATAATGATGATAATTCCACAATCAACTCAAGATGAATTACTTCATTCATGCCTTATTATTATTATCTATTTATTTGAAATGATCGAAGATTGTTATTGTTACTCAATCTGATTGGTTTTAGTTTATGACAATTTGGTATGTTGTTGTTGTTTTTTTTTTCTTCTTTTTCTACTATTATTATTGTTATTAGGTTATACCAAAACCTATCACCTTTATTATAGATAGATTGACATTATGCAACATGCATTATATATATAATGTTCATTTGGTATTCTATAAGCTAGCTTATTAGTCTTATTTACAGTGATTATATATACATATGTTTAAGCACACATATTCAACTTAGATACAAAGAAATATAAGAAATCATTAGAAAAGTAAGACATACTCTTATAAGACATAAAATGTTAGTTGATATTTTTGTGTCTAGGTTTAGGTGAATTACAATAGTGATTGAAAAGAGAAAACAAAACAAGATGAACATAACCAAAAACATAAAATATCAATAGGCACTATTTACTGATTACATAACTAGTTGAGTGAGACCTTGAATAAATTATCGGTTTTTTTTTTGTGTGTGTCAGTATGCCGTGACATTGCCTTCAGTCACAAGCTCTATAAGCCAAGATGGATAGTGGGTAGTAGTAAAATCCAGGACGCACATTAATTTGTCCTATTTGAGATTCGTCAGCTGGATATAATTGCATCTCAAAGTTGACTCAGTAGCTAAGTGGATAATGTGATGGAGTTTGAAGTGAATGGTACTGGGTTCGAGTCCCAGAGTGAACATTAACTCTGAGATGAAGATACATCCAGCTGATGAGTCCCAAATAGAATGAAACGCGCGTCCTGCATTTCACTGCTAACCACTATCCATCTTCGAATATTTATCTTTGTTTTTACTATATGAATCTTCCCATTAATGTTTTGGTCAATCTCTATTGACATATGTGCATGCTAAGCGGATTGCCTTGATACTGCCTTCAGTCACAAGCATTATGAGCGGAAACAGCTACTGGCTAGCAATGGGATTCAAGTTCCACGTTTCATCATCTAGATGTACCTGTATTCCAGTAAATGTATACTTCGAGAATCAAACTCAGTACCATTCATTTGAAACTCCATCGTGTTATTCACTACCAGCCATTAACTATCTCTGCTTAAATCACACACACACTCACTAATGAATAATATTGTTTCATTCACTATGTTAGAGTATGAAGACCTTGTTCATTTCTACACAAGCACAAAAGGATCTTATGTATTTGCTCGTATATACTTGTTCGCCTCTCTGCTTCAAATTTGCTTGATGAGCTAGTAGCTTTGTGATCTGAGCTCTCCGTTATTAAAGTATAGTAGCCACTTCTCATTCCTTTCTGATTTTAAACATCTTTGAGAATTTATATTTTAACGGTTTTCGAGGTGATCGATTAACGAAGCAAAGCTACTACAGAATTGCAGATCCCAAAGTGCGAACATGAAACAATTTTCGACGATATAATCTAATTCCGAAAATTCAACACGCTCTGTCTCAATTCGGACTATCATCTGTATTGTAATCATAGTTGTGGATTTATTATATCACTATTTTATAATTACACAAACATTATTGAATGTAACGGTAATACTCATAATAAATAACGATATTTCACAAACAATCGATAGATTAGTGCAACTTAGTAAGTCCGTTCTATGTTATGAATTGTACCATCTATTATTACCATCATTGTTTTTGTCTTTAAATAACGACACAATAGACCTTTCGCAAATGACATCCATAAGGTTCAGGCATAACACCACAGTAAATGAAACAATGAATATATGATAAATAGCGACGAATGTGTTTATGCCATAAATTGACGAACCTAAATCAAAACAACAGACACATAAAATGGTTTTGCCCTACAAGACGCTTAGCTCTGACAATATTCTGTTACCATTAAACACACAGTAACATAGCTTGAAAATATCAATCACTAAAACAATTTATTCTAAAGAAGAAAACAAATTAGAATCAACTTACTTGATTTTTATCAAGTTCACAATTTCTATATTCTTGTTCACCTTCTTGTTGAAATGTTACAATAACAAAACCAACAAATATATTAATCATAAAAAATGCTATCACAATTATATAAGCTACATAGAAGATAACAACAATTGGACGATTATTATAAACACTTCCATAATCTTCAGCATATGAATCAATGGATCTAATGAATGAAATAAATCAATAACATATAATTAATCAATATTTAATATAATGGAAATCCATTAATATTTAAAATAATTAAATCTAAGTACTTATTAATGGATCTATGAATAGTTTCTTAACATTTCATCATATAGATTAATAAATGTTAAACAAATTCCAACGTGACTATCATTTATGAATGAACCAATCAGATTAAAGATAACAGATCTCTGGGATTTTGGCACGAAATTTATTCATTCATTTGGTGAAATAAAGTTTTGACATAATAGCTGATATAAGTTTATGATGAAAAACCATTAATAATCTAATACTTAACCCTTAACCATCAACTGTAAATCACATTTCTAATTTCTTAAACTCGTTTATAACCCTTATTTGGTTCTAGTTACTAATTGAACACTATCAAGGTCACTTTGATGTTACTCAAAAGCTGTTCATAAATAATAATTCCATAATCATATGGGTGAATGTAATTTACATAGGAAATAGGTAGATTGACAATATAACTGTATCTCTTAAATTAACAATAAAAGGTGATTATATTGAACGAGTAATAGTGCAGTGATTATTGTTAGCTATTGAATTTGTATTTTAAACAATAATCCTTGATTTGAATTTGAAAAAAAATGAGAATACCATACGATTAGTTATTACTTTTAAGGTCTCATGATTTTACGGAAAACTATCAGCTACAGCCTATTGTGGGAGAGGAAAAACCAGCTTCCAGCTAAACAACATATTAAGAAAAGACGTTAGGAGTGGATAGGACATAAATTACGGGAATCCCTAAACTACATCACGAGATAAGCTCTAACATTGAATCTTGAAGTGAAGTGAAAAAGAGGAATACCGTAGAACATACTACGTTGGAAAATGGAAGCAGATATAAAAAAAAGAATGAATAGTAAATAGAAAGGATTGCCCAGGATAAGGTTGAATGAAGAGAGATGGTGGGCGACCTATTCTCCTCCACGAAGGGTAACAGGCGCAAGTAAGAAGTAAGTAAATTTTAAGAATGTCAAATTCTTCCCGAAACATTTAATATTAAAGGTTTATATATATATAATACAATCAATATATGATGGTAGTTTATCTATCATTTTTCTGGTTAGCGTTTTTTTAGCGAGTTAGTTTTCTACGGGATGGGGTCGCTAACCCCATGCCCAACCCACCTCCTTTATCCGGGCTTGGGACCGGCAGTAGCCCCCGGAAAGGGGCTAAGTAAGTAAGTAAGTAAGTTTATCTATCATATTGTCGAAAGTCTCAAGAGTTAGCTTTAAACAATGCTCTTCCTAATTGTAATACATTTTTTTTTCAAAAGATTATTGCTTTGTCGCATCACTACTTTGATCATAGATTTTACTTTGATCAGATATAATTTTTAAAGATGATCCGATACATTATTGCATTTATTCATTGGAATATACTATTACTTATTCATTTAATCATGGTGATCAGTATATAAGTAATCAATGAAAAGTCCATCTTAAACCTTATTAATCGATCGTGAGAGTAATCATTAAATAGACCTTAATTTCATTAGACATCTTATTATTCAACCGAAAGTATCAATGTAAGTAGCTCTATGGAAAATGAGCTTCATCTTAAAATATCTTTTATAGTCGATTGATGTGGGCTAAAAAAAAATCCACTTTATGCGATTCGACACATAGGTACGTGTCATATTCTAATTTTATAAGTGTTCAAGATGAATTCATACATGACTATAACAATGATCTTAAATAAACACTTTAGATCTAGTGTTAAGATCATAATGTCGGATGTTAGGCATCTAACTACTTATGGTACTTATTGTATGATTATCAATGTAAATGATTAAAATTTGAAATACTTGTCATTGTATTTGGTTTATAAAAACTAAAAATAACATTGATTTCAGTTAATAAACAAAATGTGCCTCCATATGGCTTTAACTGTGAAAAACCCCTAAGTCTCACACATTGCTAAATTTTTTTCTGAATAACTTGTTTTAATAACAAGAATAAACAAATAAGGATGGTATATTGATTTTTCTTCCAATTTCAGAATTTTATTCTGTTACTAATGAAATTTATCACTTTTCATCAATGAATAGATAATTCAACATTATTCACTATTTCTTTCTAATATTATGTACTAACTGCAAAATACTAATTAGTGACTAAAGGGTGCTAAATACTGTGAGGATGGTCCATGATGGAACTCGAAGAAGCTGTGAGAAGCTCAAAAAGAGCCAAACATATTCCATTCAATCATCTTTTAGGAGAATATTCTAGTAGCTTCCCGATTGGACATTGCTAATAACTCCCTGTGTGCGAATTGGATAGCTATATTAATGATTTCGTTTTTACTGAAAACGATAAATACCTGACAGTTTTGTTCTAAAATTTGACACTGTCTAGAATAACGTTCCTTTCACTAGTCTTCTGTCCTCTCATTGCGACTTGGAAAGGTTCTAGCTTTCAAGTGCTCAAGTTATACGCGTCATATCAAGAAGATAAGCTCTATTGATTATGACCCTACATATTTTTCAATTTCGCAGCTTACCTTCACTCAGTCAACAAACGACAGGACTTCACAATGTCTGATCTTGTAATGAATTTCTATAAAAGAACATACCTATATTGAAAATCTCTTAGAGATTTGTTTGTAAGCCGCTCTTGATAAGAAACTAATCACCCTCTTAAGAGTTTCTAGCTTTATTATAACAGTATTATATACGATAATATGAATTAAATAATCTGGATCAAAACCTTACGGAACATCACAAAAATAGACTACAGAAGATCTTTTTATGATTACAAACTTTAAGAATTTGTAGATTTTGCTAGAAGTAAGCATCTCGTGAAGTATGTAAGAGAATAACTTTTGTGAACAATGTTTTGATTATACTTTTCATTATGCGCTTGGCTCATATATCATGTAGTAGTAAGTAAGAGTGATCAAAACATTGACATTTTCAGACATAGTTGTCAAGTCAATGGTGGTCATGCATAGAATGTATTTCAGTAGAAAATCGATAAGGAAAGAATGGGAACGGAAGGCAATTAGTATGAAAATACAGGAACAATGAAATCTGAGATCATGGCTGATATTTGCAAAAGGAACAGTCAAGATTGAGACAATGGATAGATATTTTGCAAATTAACTAATTACTATATGATTCTCAAATTTTAGTGAGATGCTCTGTAATTTTGTACTCGAATACATTCGATTGTCCCCGCTCGTGTTCTTGTTCACTACAATCCTACTTAATGGTTTTCTGCATAAACTAAGTTTACTGAAGTGCTAATTTTAGTCACTTGTTTCAGGTTGATTTATTCAACATTAAAGGCAAAATAAAAAGTTGACTAATCATTGTAAGAAATAAACAACTCTGTTTACACTTTCATTTAATTCATTATATTTTAGGGGTTAATTCCTCTATATCTGACTCCCATAAATAACATTCTGTTAACTGAGTATTTACGTAGGCCAAATCTTGTAGTAGTAGTAGTAGTAGTAGTAGTAGTAGTAGTAGTGGTAGTAGTAGTAGTATTATGAATCTACTTTAGACTATTCGAAAAGCCAGAACAATAGTTGTAAGGATAGTGTATTGTTAATGACTAATAAAGTCTTCAAGCGACCCAGAAAACAAGCACAGAGGGAAGTAAGTGAAAGAGAGCGTAGAGAAAAAAGCGAAACGAACTAGTGAAGGCATGTGAGCATACTTAATTAACATTTATAGTCAGAACAAAAATAAGATACAGACATGTAATGAGTAAGAGGTAGGACTATAATTTATGGACAACCTTTGAGTGATGCTAAATTGACTTTGTGAGTGTCTACCTACTTACTAAAGCCAAATGAGGATTATAAAGCCGTCTGAAGAACAGGGAATTAGATTTACGGTTTTTCATCAAAAACTGGTATTAGCTAAAATGACAAGATGCTATTTAGCCAGATGAATGAGTGAAATTCTCGCCAAAATCTGACACCTGTTATCTTATACTTGATTGGTTCGTCCATAAATTATAATCTCGCCGGTCAGAATGTGACTCAATAAGAATAAATAAATTGAGGCCTATCCAGAAGATAAAACAAGCTAAGTGGGCTTGACATAGCACTCGACACTACAATGTAACATTAAGCTTATATGTGTATTATTGTAGTTTAACTGACTAACTAATAACTGTACAAAGAATCGATAGAATACACTCCTGCTACTAAGCATTGAACTAAAATACAATCACTAGAATGGGTTTTGTGGAGAATTGGTAATTTCAATTGTTGATTTCCCATACTAGGACGAAACGGTCGTCCAGTGCTTCCAGGTTTTTCACGGTGGCCTATCTTCAATTGATTCATGAGTTCAACTATTAAAATACAATCTTCAAGAAAGAGAATCATAAATTCCAATTCATCGACTATTATAGATTCTTTATTTCACTTGAATCCTTTAGTCTTTAACTTAAAAAAACAATGAATCTTGTATTTTATTATGTGTAAAAAAAGAGAAAATCGTAGTCATAGTTGAATATACAATAAAACATTACCTATATAAAAGACCAGGCCAACCTTCAAATGTTGATACAGCAAACAAAGTTAGCATAGCATTTGGTACATTGTCAAAATTCAATGGATTATTTAACCATACACGTGCTAAAACTACAGGTCGACTTATATCACCCAATTCATATGTGATGTATTGACCACTAGATAAAATTTAAATATAAAAAGATGCATTATACAATAAATAAAAAAAAATACCTAAGATAAGGATTTCTTTATGAATTACAAATGAAGTGACATATCATAAATCAAAATATAGTTGAGCGTGTCGACCGCTTCACTTATCTGGGAAGTCTCAACAGTCCTTGTGGTCTGTTGTGTGATGAAATCTCAGCACGGATAAAGAAGACTCGACTAGCTTTTGCCAACTTGAGTCATTTTTAGCGTAGGCGAGATATCCGTCTACCAAACTAAGGACGTGTTTACTGCGCAGCAGTTCGTTCTGTTCTACTTTATGGCAGTGAAACATGGCCGGTAGGAGTCGAGAATATTTATAGGTTACTAGTATTCGATCAAAAGTGTCTTCGAAGCATTGCTCGTATATCCTGGGACTACCGAGTAAGTAACCACTAACGGATTTGAATCGACAACTGCATCTCTGTGCTAATGTGGTATGGCAACTCGAACTGATGTACGTACGTACGAAGTTCCACGTTGTTACTGAATGACTGACTGACTTAGGTTCAAACATGTCTGTTTTCTTTTTAAACAAAAATTAACGTTCAATGATGAAAACAGAGAATATTAGTATCTCAGGATGAGGATCATGAAGATGTTTTATTCTCTGAACTAAATTCATTATTGTTAACCTTTCATTGTCTTTCTCAACAAAATCGTCAGTACATTTTTCAAGAAGAAATGATTCATATGGATTTATGCACAGTCGAATAGCTCCTTGTTCTATTGACCTTAAACTCATTTGGTTATTGTCGTTAAATGTATGGCAGTCGTTTATATATGTTTATAATGGTTGTTTTGATATCGTACATAGACGGAAAAAAGGGTACTCTCAGTTTATGGTAAAAGAACAAAGAGCTTCGAAGAAACTGAAAATAAGGAAGAACACAATCACAATTCTGGTTTACAAAGAACATACCAGAGAGAACATGTCAGAAGACTGAAATAAAAAAGTTGAGGACTTATTTATTTACGAAAGTTTATATCAACCACTGGAAATTAATCCTATTCAAAAACTAGATATCTAAATCAGTAGAACTAAACAAACTTGTCAAAGCTGAACAGATAATAACACAGTGGTGAACGAAGCCAAACGGATCCGTATTTCATTGGTTTTATGACAGATAGAAATTAAACAATTCAAACATCATCAAAAGACCAATCACCACTGTTAGCGGGACATAGATTGGATTAAAGCATGCTCAGTGTACGATTGCTGCGGAGCACGGTGATTGGCTAGTTCTTATTCAATCAGCACTAGTCGATACTTGGAGAACACTCTAGAATTGCCTCATGTAAAAACTATAAATAAACTAACGTTTTTCTTATTGTGCTTCTTCTTACTTCCATCTAACTTTGTCACTTGGAATATAATCTCTTTCCTGTTCAACCGTGTTCTAATTTGGGGACTTGTTGAGCGAATCGGTGTCCGATAATACTAAGCAATAAGAATAGCTGAGTTGTAACCGTAGGAGAGAATTATAACAGCCACACTTCCAGTGACATCTACATATAACCAGTCACGAGGATTATCGAAGATATTAAAACATCTGGTAGACTCAAATGGTCATTCTGCCAAGTTTTCAACACAGTTTTTAGATATAGTCGATGATATCATTTGATGTCACAACTTTATTCAACTTGGTCGAACAAAATTTAGCAAAAATTACAATATCCCTGCTCCTAATCAACGACATAAACCTCTCAAAACACACCAAACCTCAAAATAAAAACTCCGTTAATCTCACTGAGTCATGTGATCACTGGTTTCCAGATAAATTGAGGAGGCAATAATGAAGAGGCTGGAAAAGGTAGTCCTTTCGATGATTAAACTAGGAATTTGTCTACGCTATGTAGATGATAAGTTCATCATCGTCAAAATTCATAGACTAGAAAGATTCACAATCTGATCAACTGCATCTTTTATTATATAAATAAATAACGTTGAGGGTAGAATAAGATAACAAACAACCATTTTTCGCTCTATTTATCACTAGGACCAACACAGGAAAACTAATGATTCAAGAATACAAAAAAATTTTACCTGCACTGTTAAAGTACTCTGCTACAACAGCAACGACGCAACAATTCTCAAATTACATTGCACACAAACTTCGTTTAAAAGAATGAAGATACATTGCAGCACAGTTATTGTATGGAAAAACATGAGATAATGCCTAATGGATGTATTTCAAAAATACGGACAACCCAAAACTTCATTAACAGATAAATAAATAATATTCATCAACAGATGTTTATAAAGCCGATCATCAAGCAGAAGGAAAATTTTTATTATCAGTGTTATGCAGCACGATGGACAGGAAGACAAATTGTGACAAACCAAACGTCATCTACAAAATCAATTGCAACAACTGTAAAAAAATGGCTGCCCACTCTGTTCACGTCGACATGAACATCAACTACAGGTTAAACGCTACAACATAACTTGACTGATATCAAAGGACGTGAGCAACTATGAATATATCTTGAATGGGAAAACAACGAAATATTACACAAAGGAAACATTAAGAAAGAAGCTTTCCACTCTAGTAGCACATCAATCAATGAACATATAGAAATTGACTAAATCTACCAATTAATAGGGAAAATGATAAGCAACTCTAAGATCAAATAGATCAGATCAAAAACAAATATACAAACAACGGCCATACACTTATGGACAATAAACAAGCAAGTTCAGGGTCAAAAATCCTTATGAATCATTTCTTCTGGAATTGTGTACTGATGATGTTGCTGAGAAAGACAATGAAAGCTTCACAATTAAAGCAACCAGCCCAGATAATAGGACACCCTCAAAAACATCCAGTTATTTGAAAACAGGTAGATACTATTTATCGCTTACTGCAGTAAACGTAACGAATTATAATATCTGTTTAGTTTTACAAAGGTGGATGGAGCACAATCTGTTATTGAATTACATGACTTAAGAATATATGGCCCAAGTTTTGCTTTTAGACAAATCAAAATGAGCTATTAACAAACTTAATATGAAGAAGTACATATTGGTATTTGCAACTAATAATTCACTATGTAAATGATCCCGCTGAAAAAATTAATACATTTTTAAATTATGCTTCTGTTATCGACAACACCTTTGAAATCGATTTGTGGTAAAATTTCCAAAACCACAAGTATATAAGCAAAGGTGGATGACGGTTAACAATGGAATCCAGGACGCTCGTTTCGTTCTACTTGAAATTCGTCAGATGGATGTACCTGCATCAGAGAATTAATGTTCACTACGAGATCCGAACCCAGCACTGCTCGCTTCAAAAATCATCACATTATCCACTTAGCTACTGAATCTTGATAGTCACTGATTTGTGCATTGGGATGAAGTGAACGATACTGGGTTGGAGTCTTGGAGTGAATATCAACACTCTGATGCAGATGCACCTAGCCGACGAGTCCCAAATAGAACAAAACGTGCTTCCTGGATTCCACTGCTAGCTACTGTTCATCTTTGCTCATAATGCTTCTGACAATATAGCATTGAGGCAGTTAGCACAGGATGCACATATACCAATAAGAGACTGATCAATTATAATCGTAAACATCAGTGTGAAGATTCAAACAAACAATACAAAATGAACTAAAATGTATAGTTTGCAAATTCTTATCGAACAAATGATGTTGTCCAAAATATCTTCTTTATATATTTTAACATGTAATTAGCATTTTCACAAGAGAACATATGTAGACGTATTACAATATTAAATTTTTATCTTTTATAAATTTCAGGGAAAATAGCAAAGAAATAACCTTCATCATGAATGATCGCTATTAGAATTTTCAGTTAGTCATTTTCATTTATAGTTGAGATCATGAGTAAATTGAAGCTAGACCACCATGAAAAACCTGGGATCACTGGACTGCCGTTCCGCTTAGTATGGGACTCCTTCGTGACCAGTGGAGTTCAACCAGGTCTGTTGTGAGATATCAGCTCACTAAAGACGGTGGCGCAATTTAGTGGATTGGTTGATGTTAGACATTAACACCGTTGCATGACGACCGGCTCAGTGGTCTATTGGTTAAGCACTCATGTGCGAGACTGATAGATCCTGAATTCGAATCTCGAGTGGGGCGCGATCGTGAATGCGCACTACCGAGGAGTCTCAAGATAGGACGAAACGCCCGTCCAGTACATCCAGGTTTTCCATGGTGTTCTAGCTTCAATTGACTCATGATTTCAACAACTGAAATTACTAAAATCTCCACAAAACTTTTTCTGATAATTTTCATTTATGTCAAAAATCCAGAGTTTTAATTGAACATTTGTCGTAATTCAATACTTTTAATTTTGTTTCTTACTCACTTATGAACTATTAACTTAATCTAGTACATGTGACACTTCGGTGTTTGTTGTACAGTCTACAAGTCACCAAGTTGATTAAAATAACAATTTACTTCATCTAAATGGAAACTATTATGAAATGAATATATAGAAACAAATAGATTATAAAAAAGGAACCATCATTAGTCTTACAATATTTAATTGCTTAAATATATAATAACTGATGGCATATATAAACATAATAATAGTTGGCGTATTTGTATTGGTCATCTAAATCTATCTATTGATGTTTAAGTTTACAATTATCAGTCTCTTTAGCCACTTGTGCATCTAGTGTGGCTTGTCTCAATATTGTTTCAAGTTACAAGGATTATCGGCAGATATAGATGGAAGTTGACAGTAGAATCCAGGACACGCGTTTTGTCCTATTTTATAGTCGTTAGCTGGATATACCTGAATCCTAGAGTTGGTATTCACTCAGGGACTCAAACCCACTACTACCCATCATTCGTCTTTCCTTATAATCATAGCTATTTTTAACTGAAGTAATTAATTGTAATTCAAAATAACAAGACTTTTAGATCACTGACTATAGGTTGTAACTGATGAGACAAACAAAATTACCTTGAAACGTGGTTTTCACATGGTAATGACAGATACCTGTGACCTGATTGAACTTCCGCTCAAACGTATACTGAGTGGCATAAAATCGCCTGTTTTCTATCTATTTCAGTACATTTATTATGGATAAATAAAGTGTCTACGAACTATCGGGAAACTAAAAAACTTAATAATACTCACTACAGTGATTCGTATATTTTTGTCCTTATTTGTTCTTTAGAGAAATGACAGTAGAATATCATGAAATCTATTCAGTAAATATATTATTATTCCTACAATTGAAGAATATATAGAACTCAAAACAACTGTCTGTCAACCAATATCAAAGTCAGCATCTTCAATACCAAAGTCAAGACAGTTCTACTGTATGGAGTTAAAACTTGGAGAACTACCACAACCATCATCAAGAAGGTGTAAGTATTTATAAATAGTTGTCTTCGAAAGATACTCAACATCCATTTGCCAAATATTATCAGCAACAGCCTACTGTGGGAGAGAACAAACCAGCTTCCATCTGAATAGGAAATTAGGAAAAGACGATGGAAATGGATAGAACATACATTACAGAAATCACCAATCTGCATCACAAAGTAAGCTATAACTTAGAATCCTAAAGGAAAGAGGAGAAGAGAAAGTCCAAAGAACACAATACGTTGGAAAATAGAAACAGATATGAAAAGGATGAATAACAACTGCAAAGAGCTGGAAAGTATTGCCTAGGACAAGGATTGGATGGAGAATGCTAGTGAGAGGCTTATGCTCTTCCACGAGAAGTAACAGGCGTAAGTAAATATATTATGCAATGAAAAGACATTTCATCAGCTTATATCTTTTTTTTAATTACTTTTCATAATATTCACTTACTGACATTGACTTGGTACAAGACGTGAACTATCTGTACAAGAGTGAAATTTTCCTGCGAATAATTGTACACCAATAACAGCAAACATAAATTCAAGTAAAAACGTAACCATCATTATTTTACCAATACTTTTTACAGCAACTACAACACATTGGACGACATGCTGTCGAATTCAAAATAAAAGAACATGACAAGTGAAATTTATTTTACAGTATAACTACAGTTTAAATATTTATTAAATCATTAAAAAATCTCTTCAACAAGGAAATTCTTTCAGTCAGTATGGTGTTTTGAGATTGTTTAATTTTATTGAACTCACAAACTGATCTGAGTTAGATCACCATTCAAAACCTGTCAGAACAAGATGGGTGTCTCATCCTAGTATGGAACACTTTAGCAACCCTCAGTTACCCACCGGTGGATGCATTGTCATGGACTGGTTGAAATTCAACGTTAACACCATTGTATGCCAACTCAGTAATCTAAAGGACAAACGTTTTTACACGAAATTGAAGGCTTTGGGTTCGATTACCAGGTGAGGGGTTGTGAATTCCCATGACTGAGGAGTCCTATATCGAGACGGAACGGCTGTTTATTATTTCAAGTCTTTCAATCGTGATCTAATATTGATCGGTTAATGACTTCAATGATATTGTTTTAACTAGTTTATTTTCTAAACCTTATAACAGCATGGGTGTGATAAGTTGTGTATCAATCAATGATTTTAAATCTGTTTATATTTCATTAGTTGCTATACAGAATTAGACTAGATAGTCATTTCAAATAAACAAAATTGTTATAGAAGAAAAGAGTTTGCAAAACACGAGAAATATGTAATCAATAAGTGCAGTAGCTATGTTTATCATCAAATTATCGAGTGATGAACAAGAACAAACAATCTATGTAATAAGCAATCGTAAACATTAAAAAACAAAGGAAATAATCAAACAACAGATATCTAGCGAAACCTTCAATTCTCTTAAATTGAGGTTCACATCGAATTTTCATTGACTTGATTAAACGAACATTGATATGATCTATTAGTTCACGTTTAGTTAATGGTTTGACAAAGAAGGCTCAGAGTACAATCAATTCATTATGTACTATTGTCACGTTTGGAATAACTTAATTTCCCGATCATAGCCTATGGCCTTCATATTAGTACTATATTAAAAATAATGGGTTTAATCTTAACACCAAAAAGGAATTCTCCATGTTTACTGATGGAAAATATGTTCACCTCAATATCCATCGATGATAAGAGATTACCTGTGATTTAAATAATAAACTGAAACTATGGATTACCACAAGAACAGGTTACTGAGGAGCTAGTGTTACACACAATTATAGCTGTTTTCTGTCAGCATCATAACGATGTAATTGGCTAGTTTAAACTAATGATGTATTTCTTGCACCAGTCAATATTTATAAGATTCTATTCAGTAAATTGTAGAACTTTCAAATATCAAAAGTTTTAAGTCACTTTCAGGTCATTACATTTTAAATCAAAAGATCATGGGTCGATTGAAGCTAAACTGATAGGTCCTGGGTTCGAGTCCCTTCGGTGTGAAATCATGGATAAGCACTGCTGAAGAGTCCCACATCAGGACGAAACAACAGTCCTGTGCTTCCAGATATTTTTCATAGTAGTCTAGCTTCAATTGACTTATGATTTCAATTATTGATGTAATTGGTGCTACCATTAATAAAAAACACAGATCTTTTAATTGTGCAATTTGTATTTCTGAGCATTCTGTGCCAAATTCAATAATATAAAAAACACACATTCTGAATTGTTTACATTTGAAATAATAAAAGAAGCTGATTGATTCAGCAAAGAGTGTTTTTTTGTTTTGGTTTCTTTTTAACAATATCATTGTTTTCTGAAACTGTATCATTCTATATATATAAATCATTTTGATAAATAGTAGTCTATTAGTAGTATAGCGAAGTCGATTAAAATAAAATGGTGTTATATAACATAGTCAAGATGATCAAAGGGGTTTCATGTAATGGAATAAAATGAAGATTGTATCATCATTAAGAGATTACATTATGTCGGGAAATAGAAGCGGATATGAAAGGGATGAATAAGAACTGGAAAGAGCTGGAAAGGATTGCCCAGGACAGGGTTGGATGGAGAATGCTAGTAAGCGGCCTATGCTCCTTCACGAGGAGTAACAGGCGAAAGTAAGTAAGTTAAGTTGACAATGAGTTTAAAGATTGAGCTACTGATTGATCTGAATTCCCTTTTATGCTAGTGTTTGGATATACATTTTCACTTTACGGGTTAACTTTTAAAACCTGATCTTGCAGAAGTATATTGTTCTTTCTTAAAATAAATTATAATATTCAAATTCATATATGAGTATAATCATAAAACTTACTTTCAAACCTTTTGCTCTATTGATTGCTCTTAAAGGTCGTAATACTCGTGAGACTCGAAGAATTTTAACTACAGATATTGTATCAATACTAAATAAGATAAAAAGAAAGAAAAAATGACAGAATAATTTCATGTCAATTAAGATGTCAAATAATTTTCTATTAAAATGTTTGCCATGTCGATAGATTCAGACTATTTGATTGGAGTCCGCGTGACTATCGTAAATAATGGTTGAAGACTCTGGGTGACATACCTGAGAATCAATAATAATAGCGTCGATGTATACACTCTTTGTCTTCCCTCAAACCATAAGATTAAGATTATTTCATATTTTTTCTTTTTACCAACTAATTCTTTCTTCCTGTATTATATCCATATATACAATCTTTCTTTTATATATTACTACCACTGAATTAACCACTCCTATGAATCCGGTGTTCATCATGTTGTGCTAATGAGGTATGGTAATTTGGAACGATGCATATATATGCCTGATGCTATATTGTAGCTAATTGACTGACTGATTTATAAAGCCTAGACAAATATGATGTCTAAACTCCAACTACCTGTTTATAACCATTATGAAAAGTATTATAAACTGGTTACAAGTTTATTACACTAAACAATCAATTGGAAATAGTAATATAAACTAACATACATATAACTTTAAGAAATTATGGTATATTATAATAGAATTAAAAATCAATACTGATTTTTACAATTGAATTCAATAGTTGATATAAATTAAATTATCATTAAAAACTTGAAAGTACTAGATAGTTATTTCGTATATAAGACCGAAAATCTTGAATTCGAGTCTATCATGTAAGATCATGAATGAATGAACAGTAGTGAAGAGACTTATTCATAAATTCAACTATTTAATGATATTACCATTTTTACAAATTCTGTAACGATATTATTGATTTTTATTTTTATTTTGAATATTAGGATTTAAAAAAAAAAAGAAAAGAAAAGAAAAGAAAAAAGAATACACAATAGAACTTACTCAATTGGATATGAAATAATTGATGTAAGAACTACCATAAAATCTAACATATTATTTGCACTTCGACAAAATGCTCCCTTATGTAATACTAAACCATAAGTAATTATCTAATAAAAGAAAATTAATAATATTCTAGTTAAATAATTTCAGAATTAATTATATGTTTAATAGATATAGAATCTTGATCAGTGGTTTTGTCACATTTTTTTTTTATAAAATAATATCACTATTGAAATTAAAACTGGGTTATATTGTGTTTGAAGATCTTGGTTTTTTTTCATCATGTATATGTTGGGTCCTACTGATGCAGAGGCTGCTTCTGCTGCTGATGCTGCTGCTGCTGTTGCTGCTGGTACACTAGTTGTCTTCGTTTGCATTTGTTAGTGTGTATGGAATAGAAGAGCTAGGTCATCTGTCAAGTTTAAATAATCTAGTTGATATCAATCTGTTAATTTTATTCCGTGCACTTTGTTGAGGTCTTCATAATCCAGTCAAACAATAGGAGAAAGAAAAAAGGGAGAATGTAGGCATCCTTGTCTGACTCCAGTCTTTACTTGGATTGCGTGTTATACACGGATTTGAAGTGAAGTTCTTCGTATGAATTTCCTATGATATTGATGATCTCAGGCACTTCACAGTGTTGAAGAAGTTTCCATAAAGTCCTTCTATCCACACTGTCAAATGCTTTCTCATAATCAAGGAAGTTAATGTATAGTGACGAGCTTCATTCAACTGGTTGTTCAACGATGATTCGTAGTGTTGCGATTTGGTCTGTGCACGACGGATTCTTATAAAATCTGGCCAAAAAACGTAAGTCAGTTAGAAAATTATCAAAGCTTGGAGACCCAACAAATCACTTTAAAGCCCTATTTATGTAAGCAGAATAAAATCAACTATGTACTATAGATACTAATAGACTTAAATGCAGTTGGTACAAATAAAGTGAGACATTATATTTTGATAGAAATATAGAGAAGTAACGTGATAGTCTTTTCATTGTAGCGAAAACCATTGTCTAGTTAAATATTCATTCCCACTACTTATAATTCTTTCAATCAGAACACATCCATAATTCCAATAGTTGAAATCATGTGTCAATGAAAGCTAGAACACCATGGAAAAGCTAGATGCACTGGACGGCCGTTTCGTCCTAGTATAGTACTCCTCAGCAGTGAGCATTCATGATCCCACCCGGCGCAAGATTCGAAACCAGGACCAATCAGTCTCGCACGTGAATGCTTAACCAATAGACCACTGAGCCGGCCGTCATCCAACAGTGTTAATGTCTAACTTCAACTAATCCACGAAATTGAGCAACACATCGACAATTGTTATTAGTGAGTTATTATCTCACAACTGACCCGGTTGAACTCCACTGGTCACTGCTTCTAACTAGAACTCCAGGAAATACCTCTTGAAGCCAGTCACTAGTGAGTATATGTTGATTATTATCAGAAACGGCTATCCAGTGCTTCCAGGTTTCCCATAGTGGTCTATCTTCAATCAACTCATGATCTCAACAATTGAAATAAATTTATTTGCTAAACAATTATAAGGTGAATTTCTTTAGAAAGTGAAATGTCAAATTTACCTTCAGAGTTATCTCCACTGTAAACACGGAAGTGAAAAAATAATCAAAATAGTTCAGTATCTGAAATTTTAAAAAAAACCACACACACAAAACATAAAATAATAACTTCAATGTTATTATTACATTGAAATGATAAAAGTTTGATAGAAGAAATAGAAGGATTTCAATCGATCTGTACTAATCATGAGAGTAAGAAACTGACTGACCGACTGACCGACTGACCAACTAACCGACTAACTACGATGACCTAAAACGTTGTACCAACTACAAATCACGTTTCATCAAATAGCAAAAAAAAAAAAAATTAAGGAAAGATATTAGCATCAACAAGAGATGTTGTATTCTTAAACTTCAAGATTAATTACAATTATGAGGTTAATTGTTTGATTCAAGATTATGTAACGTGTAGAATAATATGAATGTAGAAAGAAATGGTAAATTAGATTGATTTAATTCAAACAATTGATAGTTTATTGGTTAGTCAGTCAGTAACAACATAGAACGTCGTACGTACATACGTACATCAGTCCGAGTTGCTATACCACATTAGCACATAGGTATAATTGTCGATTCAAATCCTATAGTGCTAGAGGTAGTAAAAGATGTTATTCAAGGAGTATAATCCAGCGAAATAAATTTAGAAAGAGAAAAAAGAAAGGGACATGAAGAATTCAGAAGATTAAGATGTAGAAGAATACAAAGAGTGGATGCACCTGTGCCATTGTAAACGATTTTGAACCATATCACATTCAAGGTCTTTAATCATCAGTTGCTATCGTTTGGCGGATCCCAATCAGGTAGCCTATACCTATCAACATATCTCAGTCCAGCTGTTGATGACTTCATGGATTTGTACCATGTTTTGATCTAGCCACCTCTATCTTTTTTCCAACCTACTCCCAATACCATAAAACATCGCACGTTAGGGTGGTTCAGTGGTTGAGCAAATAAATTATACAATCAATACGGATTAATCGTTTACTATCATATATTATGTAAACAGTTATCTGCCTAAATCTATCAGACTTATAATTGCTCAAGTAACAGAAGTATTAACTATTGAAATCAGACTTCATAAATTCATCATACTGATTATAATAGAATATAAATTGACTAATGTACATACAGACTATTACTTTTTATATTTTTGTAGCTCCAAATTTATCTTTGTACATCTTTGTATTATTATTACTTATTATTGTTTTTATTATAACATTTGAAAAAGATTTGATCTTAACTAATTTGTATAAACGCTACATACTAGTCTTTTTATTATATTAACAAACTTTGTTTTATCTCATTAACATTTTTCAGTTCATCTAACGTAATTTAACAGATATATTCAACTTAAGCTTGACTATTATGAATTAAATTCATGAATTGATCAATGTTAGATCATCATCAAAAACTTGGAAGAATTGAACGACCGGTTCATCTCAGTATAGGACTCTTCAATAGTGGACATTCACAATCCTGCACGCGGGATTTAAACTTAGAACCTTCGGTCTCGTGAGAAAACATTGAACCTCTATAACACTAAGATGGCATCCAATATTGTTAATATCTAAACTTAATCAATCCTAGATATTGCATGACCATGTTCCATTGTCTTCGGTGGGTAGATGTCTGACACCTGACGCAGTTGATTTCCACTGGTTAGTTTTTCATTAGAACCTAGAGAATTCCCTCTAGAAGCTAGTCATTAGTGAGCACAAGATGTTTGTTTTGGAAAATCAATTAGAGCTTATAACTGTACAACCAGACGACAATTTATTCAATGAATGTTCTTCATTTATAAAAAAACTAAGATGTCGCAAAAATCTTATATGCAGAACATATAGATTATAATAAATGGTTGCGAACTACGATTGAAGTAAATCTTCAAGATGTAATTTCTGATCACGTGAAGTTTGATATGAATTTAAGTAATTTTTATAAACAGTATGTGTGAAGATTCAACAATACAATCAACGAACAGACGAATGGAACACCAATGGGATCACCAATATCAGGACTCATTTCAGATACAATAATACAGAGATTAAAAGGCTCAACTTTACCAGTGGTCAAACCAAAAATATGGATACATTATGTGGACAACACATTCGTCATTATCGAAGCGGAAAAGACTTACACTTTGACAAACAACGTCTTCGATAACAATATTCACAATAGAAAAGTTGTTGAACAATAACCCATCAGAACCAATAAAACGGTCAATCAATAATCAATCAGCACATCACAATTATTCCAATTTATTAAACAACAAGAAAAATCACAGACTACGATAGGATCAAGAATCAAATCAAAGCAAGATACGATCAAAATAAAGAGGCAGATAATGATTGCTTCAAGGTCAACTATAAGTAATCAAGGTCAAGGTCGACAAGACAAGCCATTAGTCATATATGGAGTAATCCAGATACTTCAATTCTACCTGAAGTTTGCGCTTATGATGTTGTTCAAAGGAACAATACAAACTCCATGACCAAACCATTCAACACAGAATGAAACTCCACCGAAAACACTCAAATATATAATCACATAAATTATTCACCGTCAGATTCCTCTAGTTTTAATTTCTTATTTATATATATAGTTAAATGTCCTTAAAAAGTTATCAGTAGTAATTTATGACAATTTCAAACAAGAATTTAATAAAACTACATTTGATCAATGGGCGGCCTATGCTCCTCCACGATGTGTAACAGGCCTAAGTAACTCTAGGTCATTATTATTTGATGAAGGAAAATTTACTAACCAAATTAGGTATGTAAAAAATTATTATTTCTATAAATTCAGAAATTAAGTTGGTTGAAATTTAGATATTAACACCATTGAATGACGGCCGGCTCAGTGGTCTAATGGTTAAGCGCTCTCATGCGAAACCGATAGGTCCTGGGTTCGAATCTCGCGGGGAGCGGGATTGTGGATGCGCAGTGCTGATTAGACTCATACTAGGACGAAACGGCCGTCCAGTGCATCCAGGTTTTTCATGGTGGTCTAGGTTCAATTAACTCATGATTTCAACTTTTTAGAAATTTTTAACACATTTTTTTTATAAAACATTACCTGATTACGTGCAGATGATGCATCTAATGGATCTTCAGCTGCAAGCATTGCACTACTAACTAAGATACATACAAGTACAATATTATTGAAATAATTGTGATTGCAAACTTCATGACAGGCTACACGAAATCTGTTGAGTACCAAAAAAAAAATTATTATAGAATTTGGAAATTGAGAAAGTAATTACAACTGGATAGATTAAAAATTGTAGTGAATTTGTAGACTAAAAAATTCAATAAATAGTCAGTATTAGGTTGTGGAGATTGTTAAGTTTTTGATTGAAATTATGAACCGACTGATGTTAGATCATCATTGAAAACCTGGAAACACTGGATAGCCGTTCTGTCTTAGTGTGCGACTCCTGATCAGTGTGCATCTACATAAACGCATGCGGCATTCGAACCCAGGACCTTCGATTTCGATCAATGAGCAGGCACAAAAGGGTGTTAATGGATTGATTGAGGTTAAAAATTAACACCGTTAAATACCGGCTCAGCTGTCTAGAGGTTAAGAGTTTGTGCGCGAGATTGAAGGCCCTAGAATGCACACTAATGAGGAGTCCCGAAATAGAACGTACCGTGCTTTCAGGTTTTCAGTGATGTTCTAGCATCAATCGGTTCATGATCTCAATCATATATATATATATATATATATATATATATATATGTTTATACAGTACTTAGTTACTCCTGTTCCCCTCATGTAACATAAATCCCTTGAAATACACATTAACTTAACAATAATTGTGGATGTTTTTCTTAGATAATTTTAATGATGTGAAGCACAGCTTAATTCATATGTCGTCAACGTAGATTGTTTTCTCCCTTAAAACTGTCTTCCATTTTCTCAGTTACATTAATAAAATATTTTACGGATACAAATTTTTATCAATAAAAATATCCCACATACAGGTTTAATTAAACTCTTTTAAGATAGGCTAATAAATGATTCGGAATATCAAATCTGTGTTAATTTTATTAACAAATTAAAGTTTGAGTGAAACGCCTTAAATGCCCTGATACGGCCGAGAGTCTGCTCTTCCTCTCCAAATGCTCACACATGACCACGCTAATATAGCCTCTGTCAGGGAAGTCTTACTAACTTCATTCTCGTGGCAGGGGTGTTGTTTACGAAATTGAGAGAACGAAAAACGAATGTCAGGCACTCTAACCGGGTTGGTGGACACGCAGAGTCCACCTAGGGGAGCTGGAAAATCCTGATTCTAAACCAATGGTGCACATTGGCTGGCTCTAGAATCCTGAAGGAATAAATGGCGTATAAACCAATCGTTGTTCACCGGCTACCATGAGACTCCATCTCCTTACGATACTCTACTGCCTTGTGGATGAGACCCTTAGGTCGAAGGCCTAGGGAGTGGCCCCCTAAGAAAATCACCTGCTTTGGTTTGGGTACCCAGGAATTATCACAGCCGTCACGCAAATCAAATGAGATTTATGTGAAGCATATGTATCTGGTGCCCACTTTTACCAGTATTTATGTGTTCAAATAAATAAATCAATAAATAAATTAAGTGAAATAAAAATTGATTCTATTCAAGTTGAGAACCAAGAGTGACATCAGTGGTTAGTACACTTGATTAATTGTCAAGTTGAAGACATTTCAGTCTATTGAAATCTCATTACAGAAATATACATTTAGTTACATTGTGAAACAGACAGTTTACGGTTTGTCACACTGTCTTCCATTAAACCAAGAGATTAAAATCACTTCATATCTTCCTTTCCACGAACTAATACTATCTCCCTGTACTATATTCTTATATGCAATCTTTCCTTTATATATTATCACCATTGACTTAACCACTCCTATGAGGCCGGTATTCATCTTGCGGTGCTGATGCGGTATGGCAACTTGGACCGATGCAAATATGTTTTCTGGTCCTACGTTGTAGCTGACTGACTGACACTTCTAAACTGGATTGTTTTCAGGAAATATGAATGTAACGAATTAAAACTTGGAGTTCTTATAGCTTGATACTAGAAATATCCATAAAGAGATAATGTCAACAAATAAATACCTTCTCAAAATTCCATCACTTATAATAGTAGTTATATTTTATTAACCTAGACCCTATAAAATTTCATAATTGCTACAAACATTTAACATTCAAGTAAGATACAAATACTTACGGATTATTTGGCTTGAATATGAAAAATGAAGATGCATTTGGTATTGGTTTTATTTTCTTTGTTGAACTAATCTCTGAATGACGTCTTGAACTAGTTGTATCTTTTATTTTATCAGTTTCATCAGCACTTTTATCATAATCATCATCGTCATCATTATCATCATCATCATTATCATCATCATGATTGTCCCTATTACGATCTTCTTTTAAATCCTCATCTTTATCATCTGTTCTTTGTTTATCTTCTATGTTCAAATATCAACCGTAAACAAAATTTGAGTTCAGTTTATGATATACTTACAATATTGATATAGATTATAATATTCATATGATTCGTTTGGTTTTAATTATATCCATGATACAATAAGTGATGTATTGGTTATATTATGGTTAAATTCACAGATGCTAGTAATCATTGAATTAATCAACTGTACTTATGAAAATGGAAATACAAATGCCTCAAAGAGAAGGTCTTTGAAATGTTGTTTTTATGCAAAAAATTAAATATATATATTCACTTGGTATTGTTTTGCTTGTATCTTCCCATTGAGGTTTAAGGCTGCAATTGATCAGTCTGTTGTTGGCTAGCCACTATCCATCTTTGCTTATAAAAGCTTGTGAATTAAGGCAATATCGAGATATACGCACAGTATGCACATATGTCAATAACAGACTGATCAATTGTAGTCTTAAATAACAATGGGAAGATACAAGCAAAACAATACCAAGTGAATTTAAAATTCAACCCATTGCACAAGCAAGTGGATATCAGGACTCAGTAGCTAAGTGGATAACGCGATGGCAGAGTGAATATCAACTCCAGCTGACGAATCCCAAATAGGACGAAACGCGAATCAAACTGGATTCCATCGCTAGCCACTATTCATCTTTGATTATAAAAGTAACTGTATTATATAACATTAGTAATTAAATAAACGTCACATATTTATTTTGAATTCATTGGAATTCTGACTAATTCTCAAAGTGAAACTCAAAATAAATAGCCAAAAGAAACATCAGGATTTTTACAAACAACATTTTTAACTGAGCCCTATTTATGAGTTAAAATAGGATGTTTCAAGACTACTATTATTCTTCTGAATACTCCCGTAGTGAACGAGAACACAAGTGGGAACAACCAAAATGTACTTGAATATAAAATTATTGAATCACTTAGTAAATACTGAGAATCATACAGTAAATAATTCATTCGCAAAGTGTCAATCAATCATCTCGGACTTCATTATTCTTTCATTTCCACATCAAGTATTCACTGTTCTCGTTCTCTCCTCTTTGATTTTCCAAACACTCTACCACCAGACATTTCACTTTCGACTGATGATACATACTACTTATATCTATCGATATCAGTAGCACACACTACACTGTATTTATTATCTTTGCAATTAACGCTCATTTATTACTTCTACCAAAATCCAAATAAATAGTCAATACCAAAATAACATTTCAGAATATGATTCAACTCCTAGACTATTCATATGACTGATGAAAATCTACACATGAATATTGAAATTATTCTAATTCAAAGTGAACTTGACAATTAATTAGTTCAAGAATACAAAAGCAATTAGTAATATTTTCAAATTTACCTCGATCAAACATGTATCGATCAGGATCAGCTTCTTCATTGATTGGATCTAAACTAAAATTGACAAAGTATATAAATCATATATAGAAATACAGTAAATTTAATATAATATATGGAGGCCGGATTAGTTTTAAAATCATTTTATTCATGACATCAGATGATATTATGTTTAGTGGTGAGGTCAATCAGTCAGGAAGTACCAGTTTCTTCAAGATTATAAATACACCTTGCTGACGAGTGACAAGTAGCACGAAACCTGGGTTCAGGGTATCCTGATGACTACCTCCGACCACCATCTAATACATTTATTCTTATTTACTTAAAAACGTACAATTTAAGCTATATATTGAATATAAAAAATATTTACAGCTTTCACGCCATACTTGACCATTACGATAGGTAATTCACTTTAAATATTTAGATTCTCTGAGATTTCAATGATAACAATGATTGTTCATTGTTACACTATGTGACTCTAGTCAGAATCTCATAACAAGCAACCTTATAATCAAAAATGCAGATTTATTATGCTAACACAAATATCAAACAAATATCAAAACATCATATCAATTTAGACCTAAGCAAAAATGGATAATGGCTAGCATTGAAATCTAGTTTGACGCGTATTTTTTCCTATCACAAGTTTGAAGTTCACTTCGACACTCCGAACCTATTGCACAAACTAGTAGCTATCAAGATTTAGTAGCTAAGTGAATAACGCGATGGTGTTCAAAGCGAAAGGTACTGAGTTCGAGTCCCAAAGTGAACATCAACTCTGAAATGCAGGTACATCTAGCTGATGAATCCTAAGTAGGACGATGTGTGTCACGCATCTCCGATTCCACTATTAGCCACTATCCATCCTCGCTTAGAATACTTATGAATTAAGGTATGTACATAAACCAATAAATGACTGATCAATTACAGTTCTAGATAACAATGGGAAGATTCAAATAAACAATACCAAGTGAAAAATACCCATTTAGATCAAAGCTTCAATAAATACATAAATATACATATATAATTAAAAAAAAGGAAAAATTAAGTAAACTAATTAAAATTACTTAATTATTCAGAAATTATATTTTTTTTTAATTGTAAACATGGTAATATTATGAATTTAGTATCAGAAGGGGTTTTGTGGATATGATAGTAATTTTTAATAGTTGAGATCATAAGTTAATTGAAGCTAGATCATAATGAAAAACATGGAAGCACTGGACAACAGTTCCATCCTATTGTACAATTCTTCAACAGTACACATCCACAATCCCATCTCGAGAAATTCGAACCGAAAAACCTATCAGTCTAGCGTACAATCGCTTAACCATTAGAAAACTGAGTTGCTGAAGAGTTCCAAAGTAGAACGAAACGATCGTTCAATGATTTCAAGTTTTCCATGGTGGTCTAGCTTCAATTAACTCATCATCTCAACTATTAAAAACTATCAATTTAGTTAATATTATTAAAATTGAAGAAAATGTCTTTTATTTCATTCATAAATAATGTAAAAATTATACAAAACTATGATGAATAGAAACACATACAAAGAAAAAAACAGAAAAAAAGACATACAAAGGCAAAAAAAAATAAACAAAAACAAAAACAGTACCATAATAAAAGAAGAATTTTGTTGAAACATATACCCGGAAACAAAATTAACAAAAAAAAGAAATAATTGTCAATGTATTAGATACTAAGTAATCAATAATAATAATAATAATAATAATAATAATAATAATATAGATTTATATTTAAATTCCATGGGGAAATTAAATAAGAATGTGGAAATGAACTAAATTAATCCATTTTATAATATGAAATGAAGAAGATGGAAAAACAAAAAAAGAAACAGAAAATGAAAGCGAGAGAGACTATACAATTTTAGGTTAGCTATAGAGTTGAAAAATTAGAATTTGAAATGTACAGAAAGTAATCTAATCATTACTTACTTACGCCTGTTACTTCCTATGGAGCATAAACCGCCGACCAACATTCTCCAACTCACTCTGTTCTGTATCTTCCTTTCTAGTTCTATACAGTTCTTGTTCATTCTTCTTATGTCCGTCTCCATTTCTCGATGTAATGTGTTCTTTTTTAGTCTTCCTCTTCTCCTTCGACTTTGAGGATTCCATGTGAAGGCTTGTCTCGTGATGCAGTTCCGTATTTTCCTCAATGTGTGTCCTATCCATTTCCAACACTTCTTCCTGGTTTCCTCCTCCGCTGAGATCTGGTTTGTTCTCTCCCACAGTAGGTTGTTGCTGATCGTGTCTGGCCAACGGATCCGAAGTATTTTGCGAAGACTGCTGTTAATAAACACTTGTATCTTCTGGATGATAGCTTTCGTAGTTCTCCAGGTTTCCGACCCGTAAAGTAGAACTGTCTTCACATTTATTTTGAAAATCGTGACCTTGGTGTTGGTTGCCGATTGTTTTGAGTTCCAAGTGCTCTTCAGTTGTGAATATGCTGCTCTTGCTTTGCTGATCCTTGCCTTAACATTTGTATCAGATCCACCGTGTTCATCAATGATGTTGCCCAAATATGCAAAGGTTTTTACATCTTCCAAATCTTCTCCGTCAATTGTGATTGGATTGTTGCATGCTGTGTTGTATCGTAGAATCTTGCTTTTCCCTTTGTGTATGTTAAGACCTACTACTGCTGAGGCTGCTGCTACACTTGTCGTCTTTCTCTGCATTTGTTTTTGCGTGTGTGATAGAAGAACCAGATCATCTGCGAAATCTAGATCGTTCAACTGCATCCTAACTGTTCACTATATTCCATGTTTCCCCTCAAATGTTGACCTCTTCATGATCCAATCAATCACCAGTAGAAAGAGAAAGGGTGAGAGTAAGTAACGTTGCCTGACACCGTTCTTTACCTCAAACGAGTCTGTCAATTGTCCTCCATGAACGATTTTGCTGTTTAATCCATTATAAGAATCTAATCATACTATTATGCATATTTCTATATAGTATAAGACTTTTTTTATAGGATTTCTTTAGAGCTCTAACAATATTAGAAAATATAATAGAATATGATTATGTAATCCGTTGCCAAATGATATATAAGTTATGAATTTAAAAAATATTTATAAAAGATATATTCTAATAAAATAAAAAAGTTATTTAAGTTTTGTTATGTTTGAAGAGATTATAAGTTCATCTAATCTGAGAATGAAATGAAAACTCTGTTATCTAATGACAGATAAGCTAGCTATTTCGAAGTCCAAGTTTGAAAGAGGGAAATATATTCTACAAGCAATCAGAAGGATAAATAACAACAACAAGCACAACTCAAGCTTATATATATATATATATATATATATATATATATATATATATATATATATATATATATATATATATATATATATATATATATATATATATAATAACATAAAAATGTCCTTTGGAAGTGTTACAAAATAGTATACTAAAAGATACAACGAACTAATAGAATTTAAGATCTTGTCAAGTGGGAAATATGCTATGAAGGTAAAAAAAAATAAGCGATCATGGCGCGAAAGCAAGAAATTTAAATCCTTAAAATAAAATTACAAAAGTAAGATATTTACCAAATGAGTTCTAAGGATCTAACATCCGTAACAGGTTTACTTTGGGATAAATTAACATGTAATGTAATTAAATGAGAAATCTGGTTTGATCCTGTTTACTTGTACTATGATACATTAAACAAATTTATTATCGAGATTAGATGGTGATCGGAGGTAGTCAACCGGAAACCCTGGACACAGATTTCGTGTTACTTAAGACTCTTCAACAAGGTGTACCTGTAATTTTGAGGGAACTGGTGCTCTCTGACGGATCCGATTCCGTGTCACCCAGTTTCACAGTCAGAGATGGTATCAGCGAGTTCTCCAGGCCCCGACCAATCTCCTGTAGGACTGAGATGTAATCACAATTGATTAATCACCGCTGACGTGTGCCAAGTAACACGAAACCCGGATCCAGGGTTTTCTGTTAACTATCTCCAACCACCATCTAATCTCAACATAATGCACTCAATGTCAAGTCACCTAAATTGGTTACCACATTGCAACCTGGTCGATAGCATTCGATCTGCACCAATAAGCACTTGACACACATAACATTGATTATCACCCAAAAAATTATAAACTACAAGCTATAAATAAATGACCTGATTTTAATCAAATTCAGTTAGTAATGATACAAAAACCAACTCATCAGTTAGTTTATCATCATTTGTATCTTCAAAAATTACAAACTGAAATCTTGAATAATAGACATTATTATTATATTATTATATAATATACCCTTGTGGGCCAGGGTAATTTTACATCGGTTTTCAGGAGAACCAGACACCGTCCAGACTTTCACGCGACAACCCAAACAGCACAGCCCAAGCCCATTTAACAGGGGAGCCGGACACCGTATAGGCTATAACGCTACAATCTGAATAGTACAGCTCAATCCTGTGGCGCAACCACACAGGTACCAAGCACCCTGGTGGACCAAATAATAGACATTAACCTAATGTTAATTGTTGCATTGATTGTTAAAAGTAGCATTAGTCTTGTAATTTTCAAAGAATCTCGTTTTACACTATCAGATATTATAACTCTTCTAATGAAAGATATTTCAACCGCCAGAACAAAGTTTAATTGGTTTAAGTATCTTCTTTTTTTTTTGTTTTTCTTATATCTGTTTAGTATTTTCATTTAATAAGATTCTTTTCTTTAGTAAACGGTTGTTGTGAATCACATATTCAACCATTCGTCTTTATTCCAATCAATTGATTTCAACTTATTACGAAACCCTATTTAATGATGAAACACTTGTGAAATATAAATCTTTGAATTGATGAATTATAAATATATTGAAATGAGAATTATTTATAACATTATTTAAAGATTATAATTTAAGTAAACTATCTTACTTTAATTGATCTAATAATTGTGTTACATCATTAAATTCATGATGTAATTCAGTTAATTTATTTTCATTATTATTTATTATAGTAGATAATTTTCCATTATCTATTGATGGATACATTTTATTTTCTTTATCTTTTTCTTCTTCAATCAAATTATTATTTTGTAGAATTTCATTTTCTTTATTATTTAATTTTTCATCATCTATTTCTTCTTTTTTCTCTTCTATTTGACCAGTATCAGCCAAATTATCAACAGCAATAGCCAAAAATACATTGAGAAGTATATCTATTTACATAGTATTTTTGAGTTAAGGAAACTATATTGATATATATGTATATATATATATATATTACTTACTTACTTACTTACGCCTGTTACTCCTCGTGAAGGAGCATAGGCCGCTCACCAGCATTCTCCATCCAACCCTGTCCTGGGCAATCCTTTCTAGCTCTTTCCAGTTGTTATTCATCTTTTTCATATCTCCTTCTATTTCCCGACGTAATGTGTTCTTTGGCCTTCCTCTTTTCCGCTTCCCTTCAGGATTCCAAGTTAGCGCTTGTCTCGTAATGCAGTTTGATGATTTCCTCAATGTATGTCCTATCTATTTCCATAGTCTTTTCCTACTTTCCTCTTCAGCTGGAAGCTGGTTGGTTCTCTCCCACAAAAGGCTGTTGTTGATGGTATCCGGCCAATGGATGTTGAGTATCTTGCGTAGACAGCTATTAATAAATACCTGTACCTTCTTGATGGTGGTTGTTGTAGTTCTCCAAGTTTCAGCTCCGTACAGTAGAACTGCCTTGATGTTGGTATTAAAGATTCTGACTTTGATATTGGTTGAAAGTTGTTTTGAGTTCCATATGTTCTTCAGTTGAAGGAATGCCGCTCTAGCTTTGCCAATCCTCGCCTTGACATCTGCATCTGAACCTCCTTGTTTATCGACGATGCTTCCCAGTTATGTGAAGGATTCCACGTCTTCCAGAGTTTCGCCATCAAGAGTGATTGGGTTGCTGTTCTCCGTGTTGTGTTTGAGGACCTTGGTTTTCCCTTTGTGTATGTTGAGGCCTACTGATGCAGAGACTGCTGCTATGCTGGCTGTCTTTATCTGCATTTGTTCGTGTGTATGTGATAGGAGTGCTAGGTCATCTGCGAAGTCCAAGTCGTCTAATTGGTTCTGAGCTGTCCATCGTATGCCGTGGTTTCCCTCAGATGTCGAGGTCTTCATAATCCAGTCGACCACCAGAAGAAACACGAAGGGAGAGAGTAGACAGCCTTGTCTTACTCCGGTCCTTACTTGGAATGCGTCAGTCAGCTGTCCTCCATGCACTACTTTGCACTGTAGTCCATCGTATATATATATATATATATATATATATATATATATATATATATATATATATATATATATATATATACTAGCCTTATACCAACAGCTACATTGTAATGGTAATTATAACAAATAAAAACCTTATAGTTGTAAATGTTTTAACTCTATAGTAACATAGTTGAAAAATAAAGGGACAATTTAAGATGGTAGAGAAGATTTATTAGCTTAGGTGGAGTGAAGTGTACATTTCTATCTGACGTTTATTCTGATGATGTTATTCAGAAGAATTAGGAATGCTCCATAACTAAACCATCCAGTTCAGAGAATAAAACTCGATCAAAAAAAAAAAAAAAAAAGACAATTGTACTGTAATAGTACAACTCATTTGTGTATATCAAAGAATAGATAGTGTAGTCAAGTATATGTTTATGCATTAAAAACTGCTCCCCCACCCTATCTTGTAGAAAATAAACAAAAAAAACTGCATTATGAACCCTCTCTCTTTTTCTCTCTCGTTAATTAGGTTAAATACCTAGATGACATAATAAACATTATAAATGACACCATTTTCTTTTCTTTTTTTTTTAATTATACAAAAGCTTTTAATGAACAGTTGAACACTTTGTATTTAAATAAATAGAATAGAATTTATGAATTAAGAATAAGTCAATAGATTGTTTCATTACTGTTATGTCTTATTATTTATATTGAAAATTCATAGTCGTTAGATGTTAGAATACAAATATATTTAACATGAATTATTGTATAAAGATAAAAGTAGTGTATTTTGATCAATTTTCTCGATTAACTGTTTAATGATATTTGAAAAGTTTACTACATACTAACCACAAAGTAATCTTAATAAGTATCAGCACTCTTTAATATGTATTACGATGTTCTAAGTTACTTATACCTGTTACCCCAGATGGAGCATAGGCCGCTGACTAACCTTCTACAACTCACACTGTCTTCAGCTTTCCTTTCTAGATCTATCTAATTGTGGTTCATTCTTCTTATGTCCGTCTCCATTTCTCAAAGCAATGTGTTCTTTCGTTTTCCACTTTTCCTTTGGCCTTGAGGATTTCATGTGAGGGCTTGCCTCGTCATTCAGTTGGGTGCTTTCCTCAATGTGTGTCTTATCGACTTCCAGCACTTCTTCCTAATTTCTTCCTCCACTGGCATCAGGTTTGCTCTCTCCCATAGTAGGTTGTTGCTGATAGTGTCTGGTCAACGGATCCAAAGTATTTTGCGAAGACTGCTGTTAATAAACACTTGTATTTTCTGGATGATGGCTTTCGGAATTCTCCAACTTTCCACCACATACAATAGACCTGTCTTGACATTTGTATTGAAAATTCTGATGTTTGACATAAATTAACAATAATCTCTTAAACTTAATATCGTATCATAAACTAAAATACAATAACTATTAAAGGTCTCCTTTAATTAAATACATATTAAATTGATTCTATTATGCGTAGAAATCAATAATGAATATTATGTAACAACTAATAGTGAATTTGAACAATCATTTCAAACCTTTAAAGCAAAGATGGATAGTGGCTAGCAGTGGAATCCAAGACGCGTGTTCCGTCCTAATTGGAACTCGTCAACTGGATGTCCCTGCAACTCAGAGTTGATTTTCACTCTAGGACTCGAACCCAGAACCGTTCACTTCAAACACCATCGAGTTATTCACTTAGCTAATAAGTCCTGATAACAACCTGCTTGTGCAATGGAGTGAAGTTTAAATTCACTTGGTATTGTTTTACTTGTATCTTTCTACTGTTATTTAAGACTGCAACTGATCAGTCTCATGTTGGCATATGTGACTGATCAATTGCAGTCCTAAATAACAACATCAAGTGAATTATTTCAAAGTTATTAGTGCAAAAGATTTTACAGATAAATAAATAATTAAAAGGATACAATTTCCACATATAAAAAGTATAACATAATATAAACAGACCATAATGCCAACACGACTATTCGAATATGAACGAATTCCATTATACATAGCTTCATTCCAATCTTCACTAGTTAAAATCTAAGTTTTTTTTCAAAGAAAAAAGCAAAACAAAAAAATAAACAATAGAACCTAAGGAACCATTAAGAAATCAATTTACTTTAATAAATAACAAGTATGGGGAAACATTTCAGAGAATTTGAGGAGGGTGGGAAAGACAGTAACGTTATTCAAAAACGTTCAACAAACAGTTAAAGGAATCATGTTATGTTCAACTGAATATAATACTGAATAATTAAGATGTAAATGAAATGAATTGTTTTATTATAAAGAATAATTGTGACGACGGACCACGGGTGAACTCGAGGAAGCTGTCAGAGGCTAAGAAGGAGCTGAAGATATTCCATCCAATTACCTTTCGGAAGAATATTCCAGAATTTCTACGTGTAGCTTCCCGATTGAACAGTGCTAATAACCCCCTGTATGCGGATTGGAGGACTGTAATGATGATTTCTTTTTTACTAAAAACTATAAATACCTGACAGTTTTGTAATATAATTGACACTGTCTAGAATAATATTCCTTTCACTAGTCTTCTGTCTTCTCTTTGCAACTTGGTAGGGTTTTGGCGTTCTAGTGCTCAGTTATACGCGGTATGTCAAGTAAACAACATTCTAGATATAACAATAATATATTTTGTTTTTTCATTAATCAAGATAGATATTATGAATAGCGTTCGATATTTAAAGTAACTGGGAAGAGAGATATTAATTGTTCTTATTTAATTATAAATGATTAGTATTAAACTTTGTTAATAAAAACTTAACATGAGGAACTTGAACCCAGGAACATGGGTCTCGCGCTAACGCTTAACATCTAGACTATTGAACTGTCATCAAACGGTATTAATGTCGAACATTAACTAATCCACAATATCGCATGACTATGTTCTTACCGAAGAAAATGGAAGATATATGCCGACTCAATGATGTAGATGTTAAGCATTCGTATGAGACTGAAGGTTTTTGATCCGAACCCGGCATGTGTGATTGTTGTTGGTCACTGTCGAGGATTTCCATATTACAACGAAGCAGACGTTCAATACCTTCGGTTTTTCAATGTTTGTCTAACAATGATCTTTTCGTGATTTCAATAAAATTCAACAATCTCCACAATCCCATACTCAAAATCTAACACATGATTTATTAATTGAAACGCTACAGAATTTCTTAAAATGATATTTACAGATAAAGAAACATCTATTTCAGAATTAATATAGGTTTTTGGATGTGCACTGCTGAGGAGTCCCACAGTAAGACAAAACGGCCGTCCAATACCTCCAAGTTATCCATTGTGATCTGGCTTCAATAGACTCATAATTTCTACTATTAAAAATTACTATAATCTCCACAAAACCCCTTCTGGTGACTAACTTCAAGAAGTATACCCTGGAGTTCTAGTGACAAGTGGTATTCAACCGGGTCAGTTGTGGGATAGTAACTCACTGATGACAATGGTGGATGTGTCGCTCAATTTTGTGGATGAGTTGAGATTAGACATTACCACTGTTAAATGCCAGCCATCTCAGTGATCTATTGGTTAAGCATTCACGCGTGAGACTGATAGGTCCTAGGTTTGAATCTTGTGAGGCGAGATTGTGAGTGCACACTATTGAGGAGTCCCACAATAGGTTTTCCATGGTGATCTAACTTCAACGGACTCATGATCTCAATTAATAAAATAACTAAAATCTTCATCAAAACCCCTTCTGATATTTAATGACTATTTATCGATAATGATAGAAACATCTTTTTTTTTAATAAAATAAAATAATCAATACTCACTTGAAAAACTGTTATAAGTGATTGATAAAAACTATCAAAATTTGATCTTGGCTTTTCTTCACGTGGAAAATTAAATCTTCCACCAAATAATTGCATACCAAGCAATGCAAATATAACAATAAATAAAAATAATAAAACTAATAAACTAACAATTGATTTTAAACTAGCTAATAATGAACCAACTAGATTACGTAAACTACTCCAATATCTATAAATGTAAAGTAAAAAAAAAAACAAAACAGAAGTGAAGTGAAAAGAAAAAAAAAGAAAAGAAAAAAAACAACAGAAATAAACAAACATAAAGATGAATGTTTATTTATGATGAAATATAGATATTGTATAAATTTATATAGAAACCACATTTATAGAATTATGTATACTAGCTGTTATAATTAAGTAGTTAAACAGAATAAGATTAAATACAATAACAACAAAAACAACAGCAAAAAAAAAGTGTCAAAAGGTACTTGATCAGAATTTATTTACATATCAAGATAGTAATATATAAATTGATCGTTTCAGAGGTCATTAAAACTAAATCAATGAAATTTGTAACTTTTCTTAAATCAATGATCCTTAAAGCTATACAATCATGATTTTCAAAATAAATAATTACTTTATAAATTGAATGAGTTGTAAATGGAACTAGATAATCGATCAATTTTCAAGAAATATATTCATCTGTGTGAGTGACTGATAGGTTTGGATTTCCAATCTTGCGAGGTAGTGGTGGTGGATGCGCATTGCTGGGGAGTCCCACAATCGGACGAAACGGATGTCCAGTGCTTTTAGGTCTTCCATAGTGATCTAAATTTAACTATTAAAATTACTACAATCTCCACAAAACCTCTTCTGCTATAATGTTTTTAATGAAATTATTCATATTACAAGATACTTATTAGTTAAATATTCCATACTTTTGTATAATAAGTATGGATACATGTTGTTTAGTTTAGGGTCAAATTTTCATTTAAATGAGGTATAAAAAGCTTCACAAATTGAAGAAGGTTATCACTAGTTACTGATTTCTGCTTAGTTATTAAATCCAATATGATTAGTATGAAAATAAAAAAATTCTGGCTTCAAATATGTACATATAAATGTAAATCACCAAATAGGAATAAGGATTAGTTCAGTGCTGTCTGTGATAGACCTGATGAAACCAAACAGCTAGATCAAACGTATTCAAAAGCTAACATCATGGTTAAGAAATTGAATTTCGACGGATCATTATTCATGTAGTCAAGATGAATTGCACTACATATTCTGTCCGAATCAGTACGGCAACTTATAACTATCCATAAATTGTATATATTATCAATCACATTTTGCAAATAAAGAATTTTGCCATTTTCTTGTGTTTATTTTCTCTCTATAGATAGTTAATAATTGAAGAGGACTGCAGAAAACACCACAGAAGGTTGCAAAGTAAATTGAAAAACAACTTTTCTTTGAATAGACAATGTAGTATTTTTGTAACATAAGCTTTCCCAACTGTATTGAGATTATAAATGCAGCAATGAAAAGTCTGACATTAAAACCCAAGAGTTCAACTTCATGTCAAGTAATTTTAAAATCAGTTGTCAATCAAATGATGTCAAAATTTGAAACATAACCATAACAACAAATATAACGTAAAGAGGTTGAATATATTTCGTAGATTATCATCATCTGCTTACAGCTTAGAAACGATAGTAATAATTAGTTATCAAGCAGTAGCACTGTGCTATTGCTTACCATTTGCTGAATAGTGGACACGATGTTAAGATTTTAAAACCCTCGAAAATAAACAGTACCCAGACAATTTCGAAATTACTACATTATGTTAAAGCCATTACGATGAAAAAGTTTAAATCAAACTAACGTATTCACAAAGATGAGATTGTAAATCTCTCATTACCCTGTAAACTTATATTCTTCCATAATTCACTGACGTGATATCTTATTTCACATTCACAATATGAAATTCTATTCTCATTTCTGAGTCTTCTTGAGTTTCACTCTGCATACTCTGTGATGACATCAAATTCTACGGTTATTATGTGAATATTGATTCATTAAGAGCGGGTTTCAAGAATATTTTCTTCTAGAATTTTGACGATTTTGTAGCATAAAAAATGTTCATCCACCTTACCACTTTCGAATTCTCTCATAATTATTGTCACTATTTGAACTTATCAATGGGAAAACCTGTGCTTAATGTCAGAATCCATAAACAAATGTTAATCAATGTAACTGGCATTTCCTCGTGAAGGCATACTGTTAAATAGTCCCTTATTAGGATAAATACTTCCAGGTTTACAATTACAATTGAACAATGATCGGTTCATGATCTTCTTTTTAAAAAAATACAGACAAACATCACATTGGTCACTATTTATTGGTCATTCAATTGTAATTTTTTTATAAAAAATATGATGTTAACATTAAATTAAACGGAAAATAGATGATTCGTTTGTATTGGGATCGAAACCTATGAAATATGAATAAGAGTATATCCTTTATAGAATAGAAACCAGTCATGACAACAATTAAATGAATCTCGCGGGGAGCGAGATCGTGGATGCGCACTGTTGAGGAGTCCCATATTAGGACGAAACGGCCGTCCAGTGCTTCGAGGTTTTCCATGGTGGTCTAGCTTCAATTGACTCATAATTTAAACCAGTGAAATTAAATGAATCATCAAATTAACCCATATTAAAAAAAATTACTTACTTCATAATATAATCTTACCTGGTTACTTTAAATACACGTAATAAACGTGCACAACGTAATACAGATACTCCTAATGGTGGCATAACTTTGGTTTGTATTAAAACAACTTCAATAATACTACAGATAACCACAAAAAAATCGAATCGATTAAACATAAAATCAAAATAACATCGTATTCCTAAACTGTACATTTTAATTAACATTTCAATAGAAAAGAGGACAACAAATACAATGTTGGCCATATCTAAAAAAAACAAAGAGGGAGATGAGGGGGGAGAGGGAGAGGAGAAAAACAACAAAAAAAATATGTATATTTGTATATCCAACATTATAAACTATTTTTTATTGAATTGTACCGATAACAACAAAGAAAAATATATACATTGTTATGAACAGAGAGAAATAAAACAAAAGAAAAAGAACAACCCATAACTAAAAACTCTGTTGTCATTTCAAATGGGAAAAAAAGTTTTGTTGCTACCTAATTCTATTGATCCATGTAATGTTCTTTTTATTTATAAAACTACCCTATTATAAAATTGGCATAATGTATAATGAGATGTTTCATCATGTATCAAGATATTATTTTATATTACTAAACATTAATAATATAATTCACTTGATATTGTTTTTATTTCAGTCTTCCCATTGATGTTTAGGACTGAAATTGATCAATCTCTTATTGGCATATGTGCATACTGTGCGTATTGCCTCTATATTGCCTTAATTTACAATTATTATGAGCAAAGATGGATAGTGGCTAGCAGTGGAATCCAAAGACTGATCGATTTCAGTCCTAGTGAATTAAACTTCACCCAATTGAACAAGCAAGTGGTTATCAGAACTCAGTAGATAAGCGGATAACTCGATGGCGTTTGAAGCGAACGGTACTGGGTTCTAGTTCGAGAGTGAACATCAACTCTGAGATTCAGGTACATCCAGCTGATGAGTCCCAAACAGGACGAAACGTGCATCAAACTAGATTCCACTGCTAGCCACTATCCATCTTTGCCTCAAAATTGGTTAATACCTGTTTATTTGACTTAAAAGTATAATATCTCGTTAACTTAGTATTTCAATGGGCCAGTTCTCTATGAATTTACATGGGAATATTCAAAAGCCAGAATATCTGTTGATGGAATAGTGTATTCTTAATCATTAATAGTAAACTTCACAAGCATGTAAGAGACCAAGAACACTGGGAAGCGAGTGAGTAGGTAAAACATTCAAATATATAAGCATATTTTATGAGTGTTAGTCAATTGTGGATAGGTCATTGATTGTCAGTGTTTATAACCAATAGGAGAGATAAAGTTGAGATGAATTCATGCGTCCATTCATGTGTTAAATCTGACCATTTACCCAGAACACCACTCAAGACTTATTTGTAATAAAGATGTTAAGTAATACAGAACTTTATACTCTTTAGATATTTCCTGGGTCCAACTCCAAATGTGAGAACTATTTTGTCTAACTGACTCCAGTAGGTAATCGGTCCCAGGAATTAATATACACACTTTCCAGTAATTCAATTCACGATAGATTTCCAAGGTTTTTAGACTTTTTCTATTACTCCATCTCTTGGTGTTTTGTTTCTGTAAATCTTGTAATTGTTTTAATGTATACGGCCTTCATCGGAGTGGTTTGCCTTTACAATTTTAAAATTCAGTTCCTTAAACAAACAGTTCTAATGTCTGCATACTTTTGGAACAATTGGAGACATTCGTAATGAGATAATTTTAATACATTGATCTTCACATCATTAACACAATCTACGTGCCTAATCCAGTAGCTACCGGAATGACCAAACCATTATACTAAACTTTGTGTTAACCATGATTTTAGGATACCAAACTTGTCCAAAATTAACGATAAGAGCGATCATTTGCAAGTGTGAACCTGGTTTCTATTAATCTTTTGAGATGTTTTTTTTGAAAATTGTGCTTTTCATAAATCTATCCCTCAGTCACTGAAAGAAATAAATTGTCTTCATAATTACTGGCGTTTAAGACTGATTCATAAAACGTCTCACAGTTATAGTAGGGATTTATTGCTGTTTCGTATGTGGCTACATATAAGGCAAAAGTGATAGGCCAACTTAATTTGAGCTTATTTGACATAGTCTCCTGGATATATAAATGTTCTTCATTTCAATAATGATGTAGACTGTAAATAACAAGGAAACGATCAGTAGGTTAAGGAAATATCCTTATATTATAAAAGCGAATGGGTTTCACGATGTTATGTTTTAATAAAGTGGGACAGCTATGTCGTTTTGTATTGTCTTGAATACTCCAATGTCTGATTTCATGAAGGTAAACTCCATGACTGTTGAAAGAAATTCAAAATCACTCACTGACTATATCTTTATTAGCTTTAAGTACCCTTTAAGTAATGTCAGACATCGATTCGATCTAATCGTTCGTTATTCACATAAATTAACCGTACACAGGAACTTGTGATTTAAAGTATTATTACCATAAAATAGCAATCAGCTAATAACAATTTTGTGTATATATGTCAAAAATTTACCTTGAAAATCGTCAAGCCACAGTGGTTGTCCATAATGCTCTGAAGTGAGAACACCAGTATTTAAAAAAACAAGGACTATAACTATCCAGTAAAATGTCTGAGATTTAACAAGCCGACGACAAGAACGTCGGCAACGACGATTCCAACGCCGCGATCGTCTTCTGAAAGGAAAATTGATTTTCTCTGTAAGTATAGGAGTGGTACCATATAACATAATTATACTAAGTTTTCCCTGATATAAAGCAAATAATATTCTCACAACTTACATCACGTATTTATTTTAGTTAGACAACCACTAAGACCCAACGTGTCCTTTCATAAGTGATAGACAAATAATAAAGATTGTTAAAGCGAAAAGCTTTTTACATAATTCACCCAAACTATTTAGTTATATACAAACTTAAGAAATCTATGTGTCATTGATGGATGTTAAATTAAAAAGAAAACAATCGTACGAACAAAAGGATTAGGATCCTGAACACAAAAAATTGTATCACTTTCTACAAAAAGAGAAGATTAATTATTATGGAGAGTGAAGATCAACAAGAACTATGTGACTATACTAACAGTTGAATTCATCAGTAGGTGTAAGCTAGACCGTCATTGAAAACCTGGAAGCACTGAACAATCATTTCGTTTTAGTATGGCACTCCTCAGAAGTGCGCATCCACGATCCCAGTACCTTCGGTCTCACGTAAGAACGATTAACTTCTAGACCACTGAGCAGGCTAGCATCCAACGGTGTTCATGTCCAACTTCATTCGATCCATGATCTCGCACAACCTAAGTCATGTGTTCGAATCCCATGTGATGGATCGTGAGTATGCACATCTGAGGAGTTCATACTAGGACAAAATGGCTTTCCAGTGCTTCTGGGTTTTCAGTGGTGGTTTAGCTTAGATCAATTCATGAATTCAACTGTTAAAAATACTACAATCTCCACAAATCGCCAAAACTGATAATTATACTAAACTATCAAAATATACGACCACAAATTACCAAACTACAAATTGACAAGTTTCTATTACTTTTTCTAAAGTTCTTCTCTAATTTATTCGTTCACATAAAAACATCTTCCTAATGAATTATAAATAAATATGGAGAAACTATAAATTATAGATGAACCAATCAAACTTAAGATGACAAGTCTGGGATTTTGAGATGGTGGAGAAGATTTGTAGCTAAGATGGATGATTTTGATGAAGTTTTGTTCTCTGAGCTGGATGGTTTGGTCGTGGAGCTTTCATCGTTCTTCTGAACGATATCATCATCAGCACAAACTTCAGATAGAAGTGAAGTGTTCGAATTTCTCCATAAACGTTTCATAGCGTGTTCTGTACACCTCGATACACCTCAATAAGAACCAATCAACATCGAGATGTACAGAACAAGCTGTGAAACGCATATAGAGAGATTCAAACGCTTCACTTCTATCTGAAGTTTGTGCTGATGATGATATTGTTCAGAAGAACGAAGAAAACTCCACGACCAAACCATCCAGAGCTCAGAGAACAAAACTCCACCAAAAGGTCTGATGAAAAACTATAAATCTAATTCTTAATCCTTAACCACCAATTGTAAATCATAATCCTTACTTTACATAGTGTTTTATAACTATTATCTAGCCCTAGTAAATAAGTGAACACACACACACACTCGCACACAAGTTCACTTCTAATATATTAACAGTTTAAAGATGTTATAACGTGTGATCCGCCTATTAGAGAGCAGTGTATTATCGATCGATACAGTGATGCATAGATACGAGCGAGCAGCCTAGAGTCCTGACTGGCCCTGCTTCCCTGTCTAGCCCAGCAATTGAGTCCAGAACACAAGTCTCAGCCTCTGCGATATAAATCATTACATTTCGAACATACTCTGTTTATATAGCAGTCAAACAGACCACAACGTACCATAAAATAGAAAATAACATTTGTACAAGATTTAACCTTCAGGAAATGACACGTTGGAAGAATGTTGACCCCAACACCTCGCCTTCTTTAAAGATCCGGAACTGATATCCGGAATATAAGTTTCCCGAGTCCATCCTCCCCAACGAAATAATGTTGAGTTCTCATATACCCAATTTACAATTAATTTGACTGTATTTAAAGCATTTTGAACAGGGGATTCAGTAAGACTGACCAGTTAGTAAGGATAAACGCCATTTAGTTCGAAGTCATCGGAGTTCGAATCTTTAGTAGATAATGGATCACTATTGATAATCAGCAATCAACAAAACTGCACCAGGTTCTTAATTATCACAATTATCACAATTATTTTGAAAATATCAAGTCAATATTATAAGTAAGTTACATTTGTTTTGTACCATTTACATTCATTCATACATTAGATATGATATTACGTAAAAATGAATATAAATGCTTCCAGGTTTTCCATGGTGGTCTAGCTTCAACTGACTCATGATCTTAATCATTGAAATTACTACAATCTCCACAAAACCCCTTCTGATAATAATCAACATATGCTCACTAGTGACTAGCTTCAAGAGGTATATCTTGGAGTTCTAGTGACAAGTAGTGACCAGTGGAGTTCAACCAGGTCTGTTGTGAGATAATAACTCACTGAAGACAATGGTGGATGTGTCGCTCAATTTCGTGGATTAGTTGAAGTTAGACATTAACACCGTTGGATGCCGGCTCGCGCGCGAAACCAGTAGGTCCTGGGTTCGAATCTCGCAGGGGGCGAGGTCGTGGATGCGCACTACTGAGGAGTCCCATAATAGGACGAAACGGCCGTCCAGTGCTTTCAGGTTGAAATAAATGATAAAGTAATTATGTATCTATTTAATAGATATTATTTATATGAAAGTAGAGAATAGATAAAATGTATGCTTATTTAGAATTCTGTATATGTACTTTAAAAGTTAAGGGAAAAATGCTCATAGTATTTAAACCAATCAGATTTTATTGAAAGCATTTAAAAATAATCTATAAAAAGACTAGTAAATTTTCTTTATTTTGATTGGATAATTATTATTATTATATTTATTATAAATTATAGAATCGTTTTTCAATGCTTCTAGAATATTTCAATGATTAAGATCATGAATCAGTTGAAGCTAGACTACCATGGAAAACTTGGATGCACTGGACGGCCGTTTTGTCCTATTGTAGAACTCAGCAGTGCACATTCATGACCCCGCCTCGAGAGATTCGAATGTACGATCTATTAATAATCGCGCACGAGTACTTAACCACTAGACTACTGAGTTGGCCGGCATCAAACGGTGTTATTGACTAACTTCAACTAATCCACGAAATTGAGCGACACATCCACCATTGTCTTCAGTGAGTTACTATCCCACAACAGACCTGGTTGAACTCCACTGGTCACTACTTCTCACTAGAACTCCAGGATATACCTCTAGAAGCCAGTCACTAGTGAGCATATGTTGATTATTATCACAAGGGGTTTTGTGGAATAATCAAGATGATTAATATGAATATTTTTTTGATTTCTATATATCATGAAAACCTTCAAAGAAAGATATTTTTCCGTATAGGGTTGTGGAGATTAATACATTTTAAATTAAGATCAAGAACTGGTTGATGTTGAACTAACATTGAAAACATGGAAGTACTGGATGGCCGTTTCATTCTACTGCTGAGGAGTCACACAATAGGACGAAACGGCTGTCAAGTACTTTCAGGTTTGCAATAGTGATCTAACATTAATCAGTTCATGATCTCAATCAAAAACTCAATAATCTTCACAACACTATACTGATAATTACCATGTGCTTACTAGTGACTAAAGCTTAGTGAAGGAATTATCGGAGTTCTAGTGAGAAGCTCTGACCAGTGGAGCTAATTCGTGTTGGGTATAGACAGGTATTTACCTCAGTACAATGAAAGATGGTAGTGCAGTTTTGTGTATTGATTGAGGTTAAACATTAACAACATTGAATGCCGGTCAGTTCAGTGATCTGAAGGTTAAGCGTTTGCTCGCGCGACTGATAGGACCTGGGTTCGAATCTCACGAGAGAAATCGTGGATGCATATTGCTGAGCAGTCCCACAATAGGACGAAACGCTCGTCTAGTGTATTCACCTTTTCAATGGTGATCTAACATCAATCATCTCATGATCTTAATCAAAATGATAGTTTTATATTTCCAGTTTCCTGTTCTTTTTATTCAGCGTTGTGAAGTAGATTTTTGATTACTCGGTGGTTTCTAAAAAGTTATTTTCCAAAGTATTTCAAGTGTGAATCTTGTGTTTTTGAATATTTTGTATGAATACAAAATAAACTATTAACTTCCATGTTCATCAACACAGGTTGATATAACACATGTGGATTAATCAGACAAGTGACTTTTAGATGAAGTATGTGTTGGTGATAATATCCGCAACGATAATGATAGCTTATTAATTAAACCAGACAGCTAAGAGAACACAACACAGCCAAATGTATCCACCTGAGATACACACGAATATAAACTCCATTGGGGAAAAAACTACATTCATAGGTTGGTTTTATTTATATATGAGTCGATAAATAATTAGAATTTCAATGGAAATAATGTTGAGATATTGTGATGACAAAATGATTTAATGATCACACAGAAAGTGGTATAACAACCGGTTGACATTAATCGATACCGAACATGATTGTAATATTAATTCTAATTACAACAACTCACCCTTTCAATGGAATACAGAAAAAATACTGATGTTGTTGTGATGATGACTGACTACGATGTCCACCACCGCCATCATCCAGTCCATGTTCAGATGGATCTTCTTCTTCCTCTTCAAAATCATCCGTAGCTGAAGATGAAGTGGTCCGACATGCAGCACACCAATGAAATTCTGTAAAAATAAAATTTTAAAAAATTAAAGGATATAAAACACTAATGATGTAATCAGTTGACAGTGAAGAGTGATTTCACTATTACAGCATCGATATAAAAATACATGAAATTCACTAAATGACAGATATAAACTTATAAGAAGACTATTCAGATGTGAACAAATTAAATTTGTTTAAGGATTAAGCTTAAAAACACAAATAATTCTTAATATACAATACACCACTCAGTGAAATAACCGGTTGTTATTTACTCAATCTAACCAGCGAAATTAGCTAGATTGTTCAAAACAATCCAGTCAGATGTATGCTGTTTAGTTCCTTGACAGTTTGACTAAATAATGGTGTAATTGGAAGAATTCATTACATAAATCCAGACCATTTCTAACAACTTTAGTACTTTCATTATAAGACAATGACTGGAGCAAATAATCAGATAAATGAAGTGTTTTTTTTCAGTTATAGTCAAGGTACTGGTTTTTGAAATGAAAATAAAGAGAATAACCCTCTAAAGAATAGAAGTTACTTTTTAGAGATACGTTTCTCTGCCTAGAGCCCCTCCGAGGGCTATTGCCCGTCCCAAGCCCGGATAAAGGAGGAGGGTTGGGCATGTTTATTGATACTTAAAATAATGAAACGGTTAAGAATTTTTAGCTAACTATTTAACTATTAAATAGTTCAGACGAATGATTAAAATGTGTTTACTGTGTTCATCAATAGCAACCCAGCTTTATTTAAAGCATTGTATACGAATCAAGATAAAAAGTTCAGCAAGTGAATTTTCTTCTGAACTCGATCCCAACACTTGATAAGCCAATGAAAGTAGGAACAAAGTGATAGATATATTATATGAACTAGTCTTCCATTCATTTCATATGGAAAAATCTAAGGGATTATTAAAGGTTTATAGAAGAATTTGTATATGTCTGCAGCTAAACAACGATCCCTTTTACCACAGGTTAAGAAATAGCAAACTTTCTTGATAAACACATAATATTTTAATGCTTTCTCTGTGTGCAATGGTTGAATTGGTTATTAACATGCATATGTAAACCGATATAAATCAAGATGTTTAACAGTAGATAAGGACATTAATTTCTTATAGAAGAAATGAAAAAAAACAACTGAATAGATACTAGTTCTTATAAAGATACATTAACTGAAACTGATAGTAATTTTAATCATGTATATGTTGATGCAACTATCCTAATTATCAAGCTTTCCTATCACTGAATTACGTAAATTGTGGTGGAAAATACAGTTGGAATAACTCATCATAAGATAATTAGGATACGTAACAAATTGAGTACAATAAAATGAAAATAAAATCTCTGAATTTAGAAATAAGGAACAACTGTAGACAAACAACTTAGAAAAGTAGAAAACTGATGGGAATACCAGTATGTCAAGCGTAGCTATGAAATCATAACATATACTTGCGATTTTGATTTGATCGTCTTTAACTTGTGATCCTAGATTTTCTACAGAATGACTATCGAGTTTTTTTTCAGAGAAACAATAGTTTTTTGGATTTTGTACCGATGTATTTCAATTACAACATAGACTGCAGACAACTGAAATTATTTCTCAAAAACTAAACATATGTAGTGGATGCTACTCATAAGGATATTTATAAGTAATGTGTAGCGGAACCTGGTGTGAAATTTATTTATTTATTTTAACACATAGGTATAGGTACAAGGAGGCAACAAGTACATATGCGCCACACGAATCTCAATTGATTTGTGTGAGGGCTGTGATACTGCCCGGGTGCCCAAACCGAAGCAGTTAGTTTTCTTAGGGGGTCACACCCCGAGCCTTCGACCTGAACGTCTAACCCACAAGGCAGTGGGGCATCGTGAGGAGATGCAGTCCCATGGTAGCCGGTGACCAACGATTGGTTCATACGCCATTTGTTCCTTCAGGATACTGAGGCCCGTGTGCACCATTGGTTCGGGATCCGGTTAAAGCGTCGGAAATTAGCTTTTCGTCCTCTTATTTTCGTAAACAACACCCCCACCACGAGAATGCAGTGAGTAGGACGTCCCTGGCAGAGGCTATATACGCATGGCCATGTGAGAGCATTTCGAGAGGGAGAGCGGACTCTCCCCACTCTCGGCCGTACCAGGGCATTTGGTGAAAGTCGCAACGATTGTCGGACAGAGTGCATCCGTGTTTACATTCTTCGATCAGCATCAATCAATGTTTGCAATAAATGTATCTCAAGTCACGCTTGTACTTCACTTATTCTATTATTCAGTAAATACAAAGTAAAATAGAATATATACTACATCAACATCATCATTCAATAATTATGAAGTTAGACCGACCACGGGCACTGAGATAGTTTTAACAACACACATTAATCATCTAGTTTGAAAAGCACACTTTAAACCAAATTACTTTTTTCTTTTTCATCTTCTTTATTTGTAGTTTCTTCATCATCACTAATATCTTCAGCTGCACTAATCCAATCTAAATAACCTTGTACATCTTCTTCAAATTGCATCTGTTCCCTAGCTTTTTGATATTTACCACGTTTTTTAGCTTTTTCACGCTCTTTTGAAAATTCCCTAATTCAATGGAAAAAGAGAAAAGATAAAATAAATGAATACAAAATCATTATAAACTATTTATATATGACAGTTATATTCATCACGTTTATATAAATATTTCAGTAGTTAAAATTATGAGTCAACTGAAGGTAGATCACCATGAAAAACCTCGAAGCATTGGTTGACCACTTCATCCTAGTATGGGACTCCTCAGCATTGTGCATCCATGATCCCGCTCCCCACAAGATTCGAACCCAGGACCTATCAGTCTCGTGAGTTCCACACTAGGACGAAACGGCTGTCCGGTGCTTCGAGGTTTTCCATGGTGGTCTAGCTTCAGAATTGACTCATGATTTCAACAACTGAAGTTTCGAAAAATCTCCACAAAACCCCTTATATAAATATCTCCATATTCAAACACTTTGTTTCATTAAATGAAATTAATATTGAAACTGTTAATGCAATATATTTCTATGACGTTTTCAGCGGTTTTCCTGTACATATTAGTCAGTATCGTAATGAGTTCAGACAAACAAGTAGATAAAAGTACATTAAGATATTTGACCATCAAGTTGATTTTCTTAATATAAATCTGTGCATTATAAAACTTAATGAAATTCATTTTTAAATATATTGACGACTTTTTCATCAAAAGTACAAGTTCATAACGTAAAGTATAAGACATCAGATATATGGAGATTACAGGTTTATTGAAAAGCAAATCTTGAAGGTTGACAACTGTAGCTACTCAGAAACATTCTTGATTACAAACATAGACAATTTAAAACTGGACTGTCATGAAATTCCAAAATAATCATGAAAACTATTAGTTAGTGATAAAGAATACAGATTGTTTATCTATATAATTAATGTTCGCTAGTATTTCAGAGGTCTTCGAAATTTCAAGTTATTTCCATCTGTTCTAGTGGTATGAGAAATGCTATGTATGTTTTTTGCACACTGCTGAGGAATCCTACAATAGGATGAAATGGCCATCCAGTGCTTCCAGGTTTTCAATGGTAGTCTAACATCAATTGGTTTATGATCTCAATCTAAAACTATACTTGACTTTGATACAATTTATTATTCCAAGTATTTCATGGATGTCATAGTTTGAAGTATATTAGCATTGAAAACGCAATTGAAGTAATAATGTTAATAAAGTCCAATGTTTTTAGAACGAAAACACTTTAATTTACATTAATGGACTATACTGATCCATATCAATCTGCTGACAAATATCCAAAGCGTACTTTAGAGTTTTTACAAGCTCCGTACAAACGTTTTAGATAGTAAACAACTAAACTTGCAATACTTTTAAGAACAAATGGATGGAGGCTAGCAGTGAAATCCAGAACGAGTGTTTCGCGTTATTTGGGAATTTTCGGCCGGGAGTTGCCGCAACCTAGAATTAATATTCATTCCGGAATCCGAACCCAGTAGTACCTGCCATCAATCTCTATATAAAACTGCTCGTGATTTAGAGACAATATCGAGAAACAAGATGCATATATACCAAAAAGAGACTGATCGATTCCAGCCATAGACATTAGTGGGAAGATTCAAATAACTAATACATATGAATTAAATTTCCGATATTCTCATGAACTGATAAGACCGATCGATGAAAACTGTAGCGTGAACTTATCTGACCTTAACATGTATAAAATTGTAAGTTTATTGTTTATATTGAATACATTAATATATGAGCAACAGTCACAATTTATCATTGTACATTTCCTATGTATGAGTAGTTGCCCATATCTGTTTATCAATGTTATCCCCGTCTATATGAACGATATAAGTTTTGTCATGTAATGAAGTAGATGATTTGGCTCAAGCCATGCATGCATAATTATTAGATCTTATGACTGTATGAAATATGATTTTTCAGGTACATTTCTTATTTGGCTTTTAAATAACACCGTTACACAATGGGAATAGCTGAAACATTATAAACTAAATGAAATGTGAGGTGTAACTTTTGTCTACATCAAATGGAATCAGAATAAAGGCTATAAGATCCGAATTTCTTACATCAGTAAGCTACATTTCTATTATTGATCAGAACGAATTTAATGATAAACACAAAAACCTGAATAACTAAGTAATTTTATTAATATTTTCCTGGAGGAGAGTATACCTCAAAGATCCATCTTTTTCTCTTTGTTCTCTTACTGCCTATATCAAACAATTTATCATGCTTAGTTTGAAATAAAAGATTTCGTGAAATGTTTGAATAATAGTTCCTTTTTAAATGAACTTACTTTCAATTATTTTAAATGACGAGCTGTTAACTCTAGGACTAAATACTAAAAGGCACTGAAGATCCTAGTGGAGTTAATTGACTGCGAATCTATCGATCATTCTCTTATAAAACATTATATTAAGTGTTGATTATCTTGATATAAGATTTTATTCTTATATATGATATACGTTATTAAAGACAAAGGAGATTTCCCTCTGAACTTATGGTATATGGAGGTTATATGCTGTCAGCATCAGCAACCTTGATTTTGTGTTTTATTAATTCCCGTATTCTGTCTATTTCCCTAAGCTATTCTTCATTATTTTTCAAGTTTAAAAACAAAACTCGCTTTTACACAACATAATAAAAGCTATTATTCAAACTAAAAGGTAAATCTACTTCACTCGGTGATGAGTAGGGTTGTAGAAATATAAATCTTGTACACAACTGACAAGTCACCCGTTTCATTTATAATTTTCCCTTTTACATCTCACGACAGAATAATCCTTTTATGCCCCGATGTGAATAATGAATGGTAAATGTTGGAATCTATTTCTCGACTAATGCTATACATATATTCTTATCGTATAATTGATAAGTAACTAAACTATTCATATTCGTGTTCCTTTTATTGAAAGATTTATTTTGACCTATGAACTATTATACGAGTTACCATTCTTAAGCTATGCCCAATGTAGTAATTACCGTTTACCACACTCACAGCCACATTTGGTTATATCTTTTACAAATGTTATTTTTTATTTTATAGTACTATGTGGTCTGTTTGGTTGGTATGTAAACCCAGTATGTTTGAAATAAATGATTCATATCACAGAAGCTAAGATTGGTGTTCTGAACATAACAGGCAGGGCTAGGCGCGAAGCAGGACTGATAAGGACTCTAAACTGCTCATACGGGTTTTATGCGTCATTGGTCAGGTCGATAATTCATTGTTATCTAACTGGTAGTATCATTACGATATACATTAATAAGGATACAGGGCGCAAGTTACAACAAATCCACGTACAGAAAACCAAATATAAGAATGCTACCTACCTACCAAATGTATCATTAAATAAGTGATTGTAAGGGAAATGCTAAACAAAAACCTTTGCGACTAAATATACATACAGTAATGATGAAAGTTGTGGTTTTAAATTATTTTGTAGTTCTTTAATGCAAATCAACTTAACGATATCTCATTCTCATCAAAACCCCTGTTCAATTAAATACATGAGAGTAAATAAAAATATTTTTATTATGATTGCCAGTATATGTTCGAACCCTGTGTGTGGGATCGTGGATATGTACTACTAAGGAGTTCCATACTAGATGTCTAGTGCTTTCAGGTTTTCAATGATGGTCTGATCTGGTTCTATTCAGAGTATGAAGAAGATGAATAGAACATTGGAAAGTTAGAAGGTCAGTATTTGATAAAATTAGATTTCATGTGAATATTATGATGAATATTGTTTAGTAAACATAGATGAATAAAGATCATTTGATTATATAGAAAGTAAGTAATATAACGAAAGAATAAGAGAAAATTAAGTCATCTAATTAATTCTAGTTTACCTATTTTAAATTTAAAGAAGAAAACTTCTAAGAAACAGGAAGTTGCATAAGGAAGAAGAAATTAACATCAAATAGCAGTAATATATAGGAAATAAACTATTACCATAACATAAATGTAATTATGAACCCCAGATTATCTATATATACTACTGATACAATTGATTGTCAATAATAATTAGCAGTATAGAGTTGTGGAGATTATTACGTTTTTGACTGAGATTATGAACCGAATGATGTTAGACCACCATTGGAAACCTAGAAGCATTGGACGGCTGTTTCATCCTAGCATAGGACTCCTCAGCAGTGCGCATCCACGGTCCCGCTTGCAGGATTCGGACCTAGGGCCTAATGCGTGGCAGGTAGAGACAGGTATTTACCTCAGTACAATGGAAGATGGTAGCGCAGTTTTGTGGACTGATTGAGGTTAGACATTAACAACGTTGGATGCCGGTCAGCTCAGTGGTCTGGAGATTAAGCGTTCGCGCGCAACTGATCGGACCTGGGTTCGAACTTCACTAGCGGAATCGTGAATGCCCACTGCTGAGGGGTCCCCCAATAGGACGAAACGGTCGTCCAGTGCTTCCAGGTTTTCAATGGTGATCTAACACCAATCAGTTCATGATCATGACATTAACAGAACTATAATTAATCAACAAAAGAGCTCTAGGTAATCACCTTTATTCTGTTGTGTTATGTGCATATTAGTGATTTATGAAGGTTCGTTTTAGTTACCAGTAGTTCTGTGATAAAGTTGTCAAGCGATACAACGAGTCAGTTTGAAATATTTCAATCTTACCTTACCATAATCTGTTTAGGCAATTATAAACACCTTCATTATCCACATATATTACCATTATCTATTGTGCTGAGAAAATTTGTCCGATATTCTTATTTTATTTATTGACGAATTGACCAAGTAGAAATATTGTGGAAGAAAGCTTGATAAGTGGTTTCATACTAAGTGAATCAATGCTCAACTTATATCTGTTACGGATAATTTCAACCTGCTGTCACAGGTGTAGGAAATACTACCAGGAGTTTTTCACCATTTTTATTGTTCTTCAGACCATTCTATGTAACCACCTCCGATTTGTAGGCGTATGAACAGGGATTTCTTAATCACTGTTTGCATTTCACTTATTGTTACTTTCATGGTCATGTTTGTTTATTAACTTATACAGTATCCGTTTTCCCTTAATGTATTGCTCAAATCATTTTGTTCTATAACTAAATCCGTAGAATACATAGCATATAATTGGTAACGAATAGTTTTATTATGTTTTCTTTGTACTATCAAGGTAAACAGATAAGCAAACATGTGCACTACCCTGTCAAAGTAATTATCTTGCTTAAATTCCTTCTTATAAACTCTTTTTCTTAATAGAACATCCAAATAGGTTGTTCTACCTTCCATCCATTTTCAAATAGATTTCATGATTAAACTTTAAATTCACATTCTTGGTGCATTTCAGTAACAACTATTTTATAACATTAATTGGAATCGTAGTTTCCATGTATATATTCCACAGTTTATATAAGTGGGAGATTTGCGAACAATAACGTTACATCTAAAAGACATTGTTGATTGTTCCATGAAATTTGCACTTTTAATTTAATCAATAAATTGAAATACATTCTAAGTATTATGCTTCACAACTTTTTTGTGAACTGGCTATAATGTAATTACCGACCATTTATCTGTAGTATGATATAAGAAGTTCATGAATATCAAAAACTGGTCTTGATGAAATCCTTGATTTGTGTACTTTCGAGAATTCGTATAAACTCGATGAAATTATATGTTAGTTCTTGAATTTCTTCAAAGATCTAATAAGTTCATTTTCTATCTTATTTTACCCAGATCTTTCTGGTTAGTAAGTTTTCGAAATTTTAATTTCGAATGATGTATCTCCCCCCTCCCTCCTTAAACCTGATCATTGTTTTACTAAATTAGTTTAGAACTGTAAAACTTAAAGAGAATTTATTTTAAAGGAATATTCTTTGTTCATATATCAGTGTTTTGATATATATCATATGGGGATTTTTAAATAATTAAATATATACAGGAAATACTTACCCACTTAAAACACCAAGTACTAGATTCATAACAAAGAATGATCCAATAATGATCATGCTGATAAAGTAAATCCATGGATATAACATCCCTTGTGAGTCATTAACCTAAATTTTCAGAAAAAAAAAATATCGGATGAGAAATATTAATTATTAAATTAGTCAAAGTGAAAATAATTGTCGTGACAAGAGGGTATTCGGATAACGCATTCACAGGAAAGTTGATCTTATTTTTCAATTAGAATACTCAGTTTTATTGAAATTAACTTTTAACCACCCGGTCCATCAGTCTGAAGGTTGAGCAATAGTGCGCAAGGCTGAAGATCTTGAGTTTATTGCCTGGCGGAGTTGTGAATATTCACTATTGAGTAGTTTTATTTTAGAACAATACAGCTGTCTAGTGCTTATTGGTTTACACTGGGTGTGTCTAACATAACACATGTCCCTATCACCTCAGTTAATAAAGATTCACTATCTCACAAATCAATTTTCAATCGTTACTAAGTATCTTATCCCTAACTCAGGCATTACTTACTCGGTGGTCGCGAAATACATGGACAATTCCTCGAAGACATTAATGGTCGAATACTAGTAATCCATGAATATCCATTATTCTTAACGTATATGTTTTACACTCATAAAAAAGAACGGAGCGAACTAATATGAAGTAAACTCGTCCTATGGTTGGCAGACGGATATATTAACTACACCATAAGCAGCTCAAAAAAAACAAAGTCAATCGAGCTAAACTAAAGAGGGTAATTGTTATTGTCCAAAATAAAAAAAATAAACTTACGATGTAGAAACTACAGACCTAAAAATATATGTCTTAATTGTACTTAACAAATAACTAAAAATTAAATGGTTATATATTTAGAAAACAGTGTAAAAATCAGATTAAATAGCAAACCTCCTGCATATTACCCATTGAAGAAACGAACTTTAGAATTGGCATGTATCACAAACGCAAATTATCCCTAACAGGTAAACAACTAGCATCTCTATGACACGACATAAAATTTAAACAAGTCATTGGATTGACTTGAAAGATATATATGTAAATTGTCAGGGGTAAATTCTAATATTTGTTAAAACTCTGATAATATGAAAGACTTAAACATCTGTAATGAACTATGAAAAAATAAACAGTTTCTCTTTTCATCTTCATTCACATAATTTAAAGAATGATATGTCAATTGTTTATTATTTCCATCCTGTAAAATTTCCTCCTTTGATATTTTCAATGATCTATATGAACTTAACAAGGAAGTGTATGATTAAAATTTAAAATGTATTGAACAAACAAATAAATCACATTTTAAGATCAACTCTATTTTCTTAATACATATTTAAAACAAAATAAAAACATAAACTGGATTAACTCAAGGCATCAATGCTTTAACATAGACATTATAACACAAGTCAATAAACGATACAGCTAGCAAGAGAAATCCACGACGCGTGTTTTGTCAGCTGAAAATACCGGAATCCTAGTTTTATTTATTTATTTGAACACATAAATATTAGTAAAAAGGAGCAACAAATACATATGCGCCACACAAGTCACTTGATTTGTATGTGGGCTGTGATACTCCTCTGGGTGCCTAAACCGCACCCGTAGCCTTTGACCTAAAGGTCTGGTCCAAAGGAAGTAGAGAAACGTTAGAAGATGCATTCCCATGGTAGCCGATGACCAACAATTGGTTCATACACCATTTGTTCCCTCAGGGTACTGGAGCCCATGTGCACCGTTGGTTTGGAATCAGGGTTTTCCAAAGCCCCATGATGGATCCTCCTTATCTACCAACCCGGTTAAAGCGCCGGACATTTACTTTTCGTCCTCTCAATTTCGTAATCAACAGTAATGCCGCGAGAATGGAGTGAGTAGGACTCCCCTGTCAGTGGCTTTATACGTGTGTCTATGTGAGAGGATTTCTATGGGTAGAGATGACTCTCCCCACCAGAATCCTATAGTTAATGTTCATTCCGGGATTCAAACTTAGTACCATTCGCTTAAAAAGCCACTGTATTATGAACTTAACTACTAATTCCAGATATCCATTCACTTGTGAAACGTGTATGAGTTTTAATTGAATTTAAACTGATTTGGATTGCCCATTATTGATATTTTTGACAGAAATTTGATCAGCTTAAGCTAATTATTTATATATTTAGCAAAATGAGGAGTATCACTTTTAAAAGTTTAAAGCACTTAGTACCAGACAAATTTTAATCTAAATATTAAATCACAAAGTAGATAGTTACTGTAGTGAACTAGAAGACGAGGGGGGACGATCGAATGTAATGGAGCACAAAATTACAGAGCATCTCGCTAAAATCTGAGAACCATTGAGTAAACAGTTAATTTGCAAAATATCAATCCATTGTCTCAGATTTCATTGTTCATACGTTTTCATACCAATTGCACTGCGTTCCCGTTCTTTCCTTCTCGATCTTCGACTGAAATATATTCTATGCCTGATCACCGTTATATACTACTTGTGTGGATATAAGTAACCCACACCACATTACATCTATATAGTCAGTCATAAACAATGTAATACCCGGAAGAAATTCATATAAATATAAGTTGCAAATACTTTAAATCAATACACTATGAGGAATTTAATGAGAGAATACCAAGAATAAAAGTAGACATCATATCAATGACACTATTTATGTCTGATATGAAAAATAAATTCAAAAAATAATATGCTATAAACACATATTTCTAGTTATCTTTACCAATTACTTGTTATAATATGATTCTACATATAACCGTAAATTCAACTATTAAATTACTATAATATCCACAAAACCCCTCTCTGATTATAATTATCATATGCTCATTACTGAAGGTCTCCAAGAGGTATTTCCTGGAGTTCTAGTGAGAAGTAGTGACCAGTGGAGTTCAACCGGGTCTGTTTTGACATAGTCACTCACTGAAGACAGTGGTGAACCGTGGCGCAATTTCGTTGGTTAAAGTTAGACATTCACACCGTTGGATGCCATCGAGCTCAATGGTCTAGAGGTTCTTAAAACTACTATACCTTAACCAATACTGTAAGATGATTCTCCAGGTAATTATCAGTAAAACAATAATCAATAAAAGTTAATCAGTTAAGACAAAAACACAATACTTCTAGATTACAAACCAATGATTTGAATTTGTTAAAGGAATAACTACATATAAATGGTAGTGATGAAATAAATAATTAAAATAATAAAACAACTAACCCAGTATAAAACTTGTGTCCAACCTTCCATAGTAATACATTGAAATACAGTTAACATAGATAAACCAAAATTATCAAAATTAGTTATACCATAATTTGGTCCAACCCATCTTTCTGGTTGAGGTAAAGGTGGTGTAATATTACCAGCTAAAATAGCTTCAGCTTGTTGTTTTCTTTCAGCAACAGCTGCATAACTCATATCCAATTTAAAATCATAACAAATTGTTGAACCTGTACATAATGCACCACGTTGATTTAAACTGCATGGTGATGGATTATCCTCTATTTCACCTTGATATTAAATAATAAAAAAAATTTTTCTGAATTGATAATAAGGATAATATGGTTTTTAATACTGTTGAGATGATCCAGAAAATTTCTCTCAAAAGACAAGCAATGATCAAGAAACACTAAGAAGCATTTCATTCAATCAGCGTTCACTTGAAATTTTAGCCAGAAACATCAAGGAAGTGAAACGTCACATTTAAAATATTATAAAAACCCTATATTTTCTGTATTAGAATGAACCTTTGGAGGAAACTACTTCTCACCTACTTTGCGCCTTCTCTCTCGTGTTCAGGTCGCTGTATAGTTCTAGCTTGGGGGTTATAAGAATAGCTTACGAACCGAATAAAGCGTTCAGATTTGCAAGACTTATCAAATACAGACTATGATTATCTACAACTCAATTCAAAAGTACTGTATTTCCTTTGAATATGTCATTCCTAAACCGGTGTAACATCCGATATGCATACCTTACGCAGCACTTTAATTTCAGTAAAAGGTTAATCATTCTATCTACATATTAGGTGCATAAATAGAAGGTATTCTAAATCAAGCTAATCGTACTAATAGTGATAATAGTACTAATAATCAAAGGATATTATATTGTCATTACTATCTTTATTATAAGCTTAAGTTGAATAAATTTAAGTATAATATAAAATGTAACTAATAATTACCAACCTGTTACATAATCATAACATGTAGCATGTAGTTTACCAGAGAATAATTCTAGGCCAACAATTGCATAAATAATTATTACAAAGATAACCAATAGTGCAATATGTAAAAGTGGAACCATAGCACGCATGATAGAATTTAATACAACTTGTAAACCTAAAAACAAATGAAAATATAATGTATTATAATCATATGAAAAGTGTGTAACACTATTTTTTTTGGATTTTCCAAGTTTAAATGTGTTGGTAACTAGGAAACAAGATAATAGGATTCGAACTAGTGGAATTTCTACGATCATGAATAGTAATCATAATGAAATGATCTGTTACTTATTAATTTGGTTCTAAAACACTAGGATGGATGGATGAATAGAAATTAAGATTGTTCGGATGTTCTTTGGAATGTTCTGTTTAATAATACATCTTGATTAACAAGATATAAAAACAGACTTATTTCTAAATGATTGTTTATAAAGGAAAATATTTCATGTTCGACCAATAGTTAGTGACCTTGAATTTGACATGGCTCAAAATCGTTTAGAATGGCGTAAGTGCTCTCACTTTTTGTGTCCATCCAAATTCTAATCTTCTAAATACTTCATATCCCTTTCTTTTTTTTCTTTCCAAATTTATTTCACTGGATTATACTCCTTAAATAACATCTTCAAACCTTAATCGTTCCGATTACTGCTTATACCTTGACTATCTCTACCACTACGGGATTTTGAATCGACAATTGTTTCACTGTGCTAATGTTGTATGGCAACTCGAACTGATGTACGTATGTACGAAGTTCTACGTTGTTGCTGAATGACTGAAAGTAATTATTCTCTTTAGTGCATTTATTCATTGAAGAGATCAAAAAAGAAACAAATTTCAGAAAAGGGATTAATGGAGATTATAGTAATTTTCACAGTTGAAATTATGTATCGATTTAAGTTAGAACATTAGGTTTTTAGTAGTGATCTAGCTTAGATCAACTCATGAATTTAACTATAAAAATTAATACATATTTGTTCTAGAGATTACTCGTTAAAAAAGGTAAGTGTGAATTTAGTGAAATAAAACAATTATAAACCGGAACAAATTTACCATACTCATATATAACCAACAAAAATTTAACTCTTATCAATCAATGAAGTTCCAGAATGAATATCTACTCTTGGATGCGTGTACATCCATCTGACGAGTCCCAAATAGGACAAAACGCATGTTCTGGATTGCACTACTAATCACTATGCATCTTTGTTTAAAATACTGCATATTAGATACAAAAAGACAATTAACTTATGAACAGTATGCTCAAATATCATTCCTTTTTTTATTAAGATGTCTGTCAGTTATTTTGAATAGTTCCAAAATATTTTTGTTATTTAGCATTCTATTTTATTTTTATGATTGTAGTTACTTTATTGCGTTAATTCCCAACTTCATCCCAAGGCACACCCTCACTTGAAATCCTCAGGGTCAAAGGAGAAGAGGAAGACCAAAGAACACATTACACCGAGAAATGAAGACAGGTATGTAAAGAATGAACAACAATTGGATAGAACATGAAAGCAAGGCCCTGGGCAAAGTGGGTTGGAGAATGTTGGCCGGCGGCCTATGCTTCATTGGGAGTAACAGGCGTAAGTAAGTGAGTAAGTAAGTAATTGCGTTAATCAATGCAAATACAAATCGAAATATATTTTTACCAAAAGAATCTTATTTTAATAACCATGTTTACTGTTACGTTCACTTCAAACAAGGTTCAATATAAGATTGGTCATGTTTTTATTATCGATACTAATGAGAGATGATATAAAGTTATTAGATGGAACATTGATGAAAAAATAGATGTCCGTTAAAATTCACAAACTTATAGAAAGACTGAATTATGTTGAGATCTGCTTTACATAAATCATTTGAAACCAAAATATACGTCACCTCCTTCCCCCCATTCAGAGTTCAGTCAAATAGCCTTGTTTTAATGAAGTCTTAACTCAGCTATCAATAAATGATATCATAAATACAAGGTCATTATTTCGATGTTTCACGAAAAACCTAAGTAGAATGTGTATGATTGGATTACATGCAATTGTATATACCAGTTTCCATATGTGTGTAAACACAAATATAAGGAGGATTATTTTGTAACTCAGCGAATAATTGTACATCCAAATAAGTGACATAAATAAAAAATAAATTTCACTGTCTCATTAGGAATAAATGACAGACACTAATCTTCTCCTATTCAAAGTCAACTAAAACAAGTCAGAGGATTGATTTTCTATATAAGTAGTATAGGGTAAATAATCAAGTTTCCAAAAGTTCTAACCATGAAGTAATTCAATATTCCATCAATTGTGTGTTAAAAAACAATTTGTACTTAAACTAAACATATCCGGCCCACAAATGCCATGATACGGCCGTGAGTGGGAAGTCCGCTTTCCCTCTCCAAATGCTCTCACACGGCAACGCGTATATAGCCTCTTCCAGAGAATTCCTACTCACTGCATTCTCGTGGCGGGGGTGTTGTTTACGGAAATGAGAAAACAAAAAGCAAATGCTCGAAGCTTTAACCGGGTTGGTGGACACGGAGAGTCGATCTAGGGGATTTGGAAAACCCTGATTCCCAACCAATGGTACACATGGGCTTCAGTACCCTGAGGAAACAAATAGCATATGAACCAATCGTTATTCACCGGCTACCATGGGAATGCATCTTCTTATGATGCTGCACTGCCTTGTGGATTACTCCTTAAGGTCAAAGGCTCCAGGTGTGGCCTCCTAAGAAAACCACCTGCTTCGGTTTGGGCACCCGGGGCAGTATCACAGCTCTTACACATATCAAATGAGATCTGTGTGGCGCATATGTATTTGGTGCCCTCTTTTACCAGTATTTATGTGTTCAACTAAATAAACAAAATAAAAAAACACATATCCCCATAATAGAGATTTTAATTCTAGTCTCTACAGTTCTGTTGTTTTCAATGTTTACCTTTCTTCTCATACAAATCTCTTAACAAGTTAATATCTGATCAATCTGTTCGAAATTGTTTGCAGGAGAATATTACATATTTCTGATACATTTTGTTTATTAAAAAGACTAATTGTTTCTAAATGTAAACATGTTGTGCAGAAAAATAAGTATGATACCAAAAATAAATAAATAAATAAAGATGTAAGCATTACATACTTGGTAAACCAGATACAAGACGAAGTGGTCTTAGCACTCTGAAAGCACGAAGTGCTTTAACATCTACACCAGATTGTTCAACCATTTGTTGAATAAGTGGTTGTAAAAGTCTGTACGCCAAAAATAAACAAAAAAAAAGTTCAATTATTAGATTAGAACATAATTGGAAAATTATTTATCACTTCATTTTTTATAATTATAACTTTCTTTTTGACTGTAAGTGGATAAAACCATGTAACTCTATGGACTTAAATTATAAGATTCAAGCAATTTTGGTTTCTTACACGTCAAAAAGTCAGTCAGTCAGTTACAACGTAGGACCAGATACATACATGCATCGGTCCAAGCTGCCATACCGCATTAGCACAGCAAGACGAACACCAAATTTATAGAAGCAGTTTAATCATTGGTGTAATATATAAAGGAAAGATTTTATGTATGAATATAGTACAGAAAGAAAGAATGAGTTTGTAGAAAGAAAGATGTGAAATAATTTTATTATCACAGTTTAAGGGAAGACAAAGTGTGTATACACCTACGCCATTGTGATCGATTCTGAGCCATGTCACCTAGAGTCTCCAACCATTGGTTACGATTGTCGCACGGATCCCAACTAAGTAGTCTGCATCTACTAACATGACTCAGACCAGAAGTTAGTGACTTCAAACACTGATGCCTTTATTCGTTTGGCCGCCCCTAACTTTCTTCCAACCAACCCCAACACAAGTCATCATTGCGCGTCGTGGTAATCGGTGTTCAGGCATACGTAACACGTGGCCCAACCACCTCAGTCGATGAAGACTCACAACCTCATCAACTGATTTACCATCATTCTCTAATACCCTGAGTCTAACCTCACTATTACTTACCCGGTAATCCCAGCAGATGCCAGCAATATTTAAAAGGCACCTGTAGTCAAATACTAGTAGCTTACGAGTATCTTCTACTCTTAATGGCCACGTTTCGCAACCGTAAAGTAGAACAGAACGAACTGCCGCGCTGTATACTTGACGGATATCTCACCTTCGCCATAAGTGACGTAAGTTGATAAAAGCCAAACGAGCTTTTCCAATCCGTGCAAAGATTTCTTCAGACACCAACACGTTAGGGCTGATAAGACTTCCAAGATAAGTGAAGTTGTCAACACGTTCGACTACTTCACTCCCTATCCTTAGTTCAGGTGTTGACACAGACCAGTCCTGAAGCAACAACTTGCACTTAGAGGGGGAGAGGCACATTTCAAACATCCTGGTATTGTCTCTCAGTGTTATCAAAAGACTCTGCATTTTATTAATAGTATTTCAACGGGTAACCGCAGACTATTTATTCATATATACATTTATTGAGAAAAATAATACAAAAATTAGTACAAGTTAAAATGTATCACTATGTCTTAGACCTAGCACTTACTGAATACAACAAAAGTTGATTTAAACCTGCACATATCAATATCTATTAGCAGTAATAGCTATTATCAGTCTCAGATTCTAATTAAAACAAAACGGTACTGGTTGGTACGGAAAAATTTCGGGAAATCAATAAATTATCAGTATAAGATTGTGAAGATTATTAAGTTTTTGATTGAGATCATCAACTGAATGATGTCAGACCACCACTGAAAACCTGGGAGCACTGAACGGCCGTTTCGTCCTATTGTAGGACTTCTCGTGAGTTGGTTGATGTTAGAAATTAACACCGTTGGATGCCGTCCAGCTCAGTGTTTTAGAGGTTAAGCGTCCGCGAGTGAAACTGAAGGCCCTTGGTTCGAATCCCGCGAGCGAGATCGTGGACGAAAAGGCCGTGCAGTGCTTCTAGGTTTTCCATGGTGGTCTAGCTTCAATTGACTCATGAATTTAATTATTAAATTACTACAATCTCCACAAAGCCCCTCTCTAAAAATAGTTATTTATCAGTCCAGTTAATCAATTATATTTAATAAAAAACTGATTGTTAATTTTGAGCACATATAGTACTGATAACTCACTAAATGTTCTGAACTTACCCTAAGATAACTATAGTAAAGTCAAGTATATTCCATGCATTACGTAAGTATGCTCCTGGATGCATAACAAAACCAAAAGCTATAATCTTTAAAACACATTCTACAGTAAAGATAACAATAAATACATTTTCAATTTTTTCCTGAAAATTAAAAGAAAAAAATATTTAAAAATATTTTCATTTAAGATGTAATATTTTGTTGGCCTATGTGCATCCTATTCGGACTGTCTTGATATTACCTGAAGTCACAAGCTCTATAAGCAAAGATGAATAGTAGCTAGCAATGGAATCTAAGACGCATATTTTGTCCTGGACATCAACTCTGAAATACAGGTACATTCAGTTGACGAGTCCCAAATAGGACGAAACATGCGTCCTGCATTCCACTACTAATCACTATCCATCTTTGTTTATTAAGTTCATGTATTGTAACTAGACTAAAAATTCGAGTTACATTAGACTTACTTATCCAGATTTAAGAGTAGTTGACATAAATTAATCAATAGATTAATGTATACGCAAAATTTACAACATCAATAGATTAACCACTCTAACTAATAATTATCACATAGTTATTGAGTTATATATTTACTTCCTCTTTATATATGGTTACTATGACAAGTTAATATACATTGCACAACCATGAAAAAAAAGCAATAAACAGCTTAGAACAAAAAAGAAATATGAGTTTTTATATGTAATCACTTTTTTCTTCTTAAACATTTCATCACTACTTATAATTGACTTAGACAGTTTTCAACCGGCGAGACTATAATTTATAGATGAATCAATCAAATATAAGATAAAAGGTTTTGGATTTTGGCTTGAACGTCACTCATCCATTTGATTAAATAGAATTTTGGCATTATAACTTATATCAGTTCGTAATGAAAAATCATAAATCGAATTCCTAACCCTTAACCATCAACAGTAAATGTTATTTCTATTTCCTCACAATGGTTTATAACCCTCATTTGGTCCTAGTTAATGTGTGAGCATTCTCAAGATCACTTTAACGTCTCTCAAAAGTCCTCCATAAATTATAATCTCACCGCATACTGATACTACACATTGATTCTTTTTTCTTTTAATGGATTTCTACTTAATGAATACTTTAAGTAAACTGTACATTGAATAAGACAAACCAAGTTAAAGTGTTAAATCAGAAAAGTAGTATCAATTAAGAAACATCTTATATTTTATTTATAGATTATATTAGATACAAAGGCTTCTTGATAAAACTCTATAAAGTTGTTATGCCTGTTTCAACCAATCTATTTTATTTTTACAATTATAATTGACAAGACATACAACACGATGATCAATAATATCAGAAGGGGTTTTTTGTAGATATTATAGTAATTTTAATAGTTGAGATCATGAGTCTATTAAAGCTAGACCACTATAGAAAATCTGGAAGCACTGAACAGGTTCAGTGGTCTAATGATTAAGCGCTCATGCAAGAGACTGATAAATCTTGGTTTCGAATCTCTTTGGTGTGGGATCGAGGATGCGCATTGATGAGGAGTCCCACAGTTGGACGAAACGGCCATCCAGTGCTTCCAGATTTTCCATGCTAGTTTAACTTCAATTGACTCATGATCTCAACCATTAAAAAAACAGTCATTCTTTAGAAAAATTATTCATTATAATTGTTTGTAATAACATCCTTTAAAATACAAACATATGTTTCAATAATCTATATAAACTCAAAGAATAGGTAACAAAAAAAATTTGGGATAATAATAAAATTAACAGAAACCAATTACCAATATATGATTGAGAGTATTTGAATCCCCATCAGGGTATGGTGTTATAGCACCAAGTGCACAACAGTTAGCCATTATTGTAAGAAGAATAAGGTATTCAAATGGTCTATCAGGTTGAAATTAAGGTAACAAGCCGGATAATAGAAAAAAACGTGCTTTGTTAAATTAGTAAAATCCATAGACTTACAACTTATGATACCTGATTTATTTATGAATATAAAGCAGATAATTGTAATATAGTATAAACTACCACACTAGAGAGCTAAAAGATTGATGCCAACTAGTAGCACAACATAACATTAAACACGTCTAGGGCAACTACCAATCCCAGACCAGATAATGGATAACGATTGGGAATGGGGTTAGCAACACCATACTGTAGAAAACAACCGAGTTGAAAAACGTTAATCAACAAAATTATTTAAACTCTGTCGTGGGAGTTTGAGGATCTTCATTTAGACGAGTTATAACACTTCATGCTGAAAGCCAAGATTCTTCAGACGCCATGAGGCTGGTGCCCCTTCCGACAAGTATATCAATAATTAATATATGTACATGGAATACCTGTTCAATGTGGGAGACCGGAAAGACCATTCAAGTAGCGGTCGAAATGAGAAGATACAACCTGAAAGTACTTTAAATAAGTGAAACCTCTTGGGCTCAAGCTGAACAGAAAATATTAGCCCGAGAGAAGTGTTGTTGTACTCTGGTCATGAATCGGCATGACCATTAGACTACAAACAAGCTGATACGAGACACTGAAGCCAAGCATAAACACAACTGCATAGATGCTCCACATTCCCTTCAGAAAGATCTGGGAAGAAGAGCAATTATCAGAAGACTGGAAGAAAAGGGATACCCCATCAAATTTAACAAAGAAAAGAGATATTAGTCAATGTGACAACTACACAGACACCACAATGCTATCAGTACCAGGCAAAGTTTTCAACTGACTGTTGCTGAACCGAATGGAAGATCCAGTAGATACCCAACAGTTTGGATTTTGCAAACATCAACCAAATCACGATACTTAGGATCACTGTTAAGGCATTAATAAAAGAACCTTTCATCCCACGCACAGCAACAGGTGCAGATGAAAAATACCAGTGCAGTTGCAGCCTTTACAATAACAGACCACAGCATTCACTAGGGAAAAGGCAAGGCCTTTAAGCACAGCACAACGAGCGCCAACCAAATCGTTCTTGATGGAGAAGCTCTGGAAGGCGTGGAAACTCTACGTACCTGGACAGCAACATTGATAACCAAGGAGGATCTGATGTGGGTGTGAATGAACGGATTGGCAAAGAAGAGGGAGCACTCCTGCAACTGAACAACTTCTGGATACCAAAACAATTGTCACACAATACCAAAGTCAGAATTCTCTGCACCAAAGTTAAAACACCTCAATTGTACGGTGATGAGACTTGAAAAACCACAACTATCATCAAAACGTACAGGCATTTATAAACAACTGTCTATACTCCAGATCCGTTGGCCAGATGCTGTCACCAATAGCCTGCCCTAGTAGAGAGCAAAACAGCTCCCAGATGAAGAGGAAATTAGGAAGAGATAACATAAGTGGAAAGATAACACTCTATGGAAACCAAACTACATTACGAGACAACCCCTAACTTGAAGTCTCCAAGGGAATAGGGAAAGAGGAAGGCGAATGAACATATAGCGCCATGAATTCCGATCACATACCGAAAGGGTGAACAACACGTCTCAAACACTTAGAAAGAGAACCGGGAATATGTTACATTAGAGATCCCTGGTCACTGGTCAACTCTTCACGACAAATAACAGGCGAAAATAATTAAATAAATAAGACTTATTAACTCCAAACTTTCAATATCTGTACAATCATGTATTACTGACAACGATAATGTTGATTTCAAAATTTCTCATACAAACCCCCTTTTAAGATTGTTTTACATATCGACACATTTCTTCTACTGGTAGTAATTATACACTCAAAGTTACCCCTTTCTCTGTATTAGTCACTCGGTTCCTGATCATCAGTTAGTTGAGGTATATCATACTCACCTTTAATCTAGAGGACTTACAAAGTCGTCATTCTGCATCAACCATTCAAGTAGGCTGGTTTAACTTTATTATATATGAAAGAAACCTTTTCAAAATTTTTACCAACACTACTTAATTATGTACAAATATATTGTGTTGAGGGAAATCATATGACCACCCAATCTTCTTGTCCTAAATCATGAATAAAATGTGTGGGATCATTTAATCTCACTCTTTACTAACAACACCACTCACGTAATATTTATGATGAAACTGTTGTGTATTACAGAACTTTGTACTCTATAGATATTTCCTGGGGACTATTTACCTAACTGATTCCAGGAGTCAATGGTCTTGGCAATTAACATACACACTTTCCAGTGCATAAGTTCACAACAGATATTAAGTAATGCTAATAGAAAACGTAACTGTGGATGAGAAGTTGCAGTGGTGTGCTTTAGTGCAACACATATTTTTCGAGCACTTAAAAGTAATCAAAACAATGATTTGTGCAATTGTGTTCGATTTGCGAGACAAAACAACCGATTCAATGACAAACATATGGACTCGTATTATATATGATAGCCTTTAGACGATATGAATTACAAATGACGGTTAATTTTGTTTGGTATCTGAAACGTATCAACAAAATTATGTTAGTATCGAATGAAGGATAAGTAAATCAAAACGACTTAAATTTACGCAGCATACATCAAATCAGCGGTGTATGTCAACAGAATGAGTTTTTAGTTTCCGTAAAAAATCGGTTTCATCATCAGGATAAAGAAGAAAACCGTAAAAATCTCGCCTAATGCTGCTACGGGTTCGAACTAAGCATTACAACGATAGTAACAGTATACCAAACTGAACTGCAAAAATGTAAGTGCTAACGTTTATGTAGTGCAAATCTACTTTTAAAAAATTATTTCCATCGAAACGTTTATGTAAAGGATACTTCCATTCTCCAATTTTTATGCACACTTTTCTCAAAGAATTTCTAAGCGTTAGACAGAATAAAGTACGCTCTGGTCTCGTATTAGCAGCTTGTGCTCTAGCTCCAGCTCTCTTCTTGGCGGCAACAGACTGAGCAGCCAAAGTAAGAGCAGCTAAATTGAGAGGCTTTCCTTGTTGGTTTGCAGCTGCCGCAGCTATGCCAGCTATTCCAGATAGTCCGGTTACACTAGTAGCGTTTGTGACACTAGTACGTGCATGAAGACCAGTACTTGGTAATAGACTTTGATTTGGGACATGTGACTGTCGGTCACTCATAACGCTGGTTACCGCTGACGAATCTGCATAAAGTGGTCCATTGATATTATTTGCTAGTTTCTCTTCTTGTTCGTAATTATTGATGTTCTTTAGGATATAGTTTGAATTTGCTTCTCTAGATTGGTTATTATGTTGCCTTGGTAAAGGATCAGACCTGAAAGATTCCGGCTGAAATCCATCAGGCCGAACGCTCTGTCCTATGTTCATATTTAGCCAGCTGTAAAGGTAGAAAAATAATTGGATTGTTCTATAATATAAATGGCAAAACGCACAAAATAATTAATAACTAATCGACCAATATGAATTGTTTTGTATATAATCAAGATGCACATACAATAATGGGGTCTTTTGTTTATTAAGTTCTGACAAGCGCTCTGTTACCAAGGCAGACTTGCAGAAATCGATTACAAATACACAGCATCAGATAAACTGTGTCATTATTACGCTTACAATTTAAAGTATCAAGCACTAGTGATATGGCGAATCCATAGTTTTAAGTGAAAGGCATATTCAAATAAACAATATATACGAGCATGTATTTGTTTATCAGTCACACAATATGTTAATAAATTTATAAAATATAGTTCTGATTTAAAGAAGATCTAATACATTCATACTCCTCCCACCATCAAGATATTTGACAAGAACTCAAAATAAATCATTCTTATATCCAAAATAATAGATAGGTGTTTTTACAATTAAGTTTCAGTCCAAAATATGTCATGTCACGACTGATCTTTACGTCACAGGAATTCACTGCATAAAAAGCGGAAACATATACATATTTCAGGGAGCTCATTTAAGCCTCAGTTTCAACACGAGACTATGTGAGTCGCCCCTAAATGGTAACATAATGTAAACTCGCTTTGCGGATAAAGTTAAGGATGGCGGAACACATACCCAAATGGCTGCAGAAACAAATTAATTTCAATGGTAAGTTAGATCGCAGGATAAGTAGACATCTTTCTCCAGTGCGAAACATTTGGTTGAGACTGGTCACAAGATTGATATCAAGTTAGCTTTTGTAGTTTTGTACAAAATCCTTCAAAGGCGTATACTAAGGTTTATAAAAGCCTTTGCCATAAGGAAACTGAAACCTCCTTTATGCGTTCAAAACAATTTGTTCTCGCCCTTAACCTATCCTTGTAATATTGATTTATTATCCAGAGTAGTTATCACATTGTATCTGTGTACTTTATGTTTTTTGTTAGGGCTTACCTTTAATTTGTCTGGTTGACCTTTCAGTTTTCACACAAAAATGTCTTAACAAGTATATTATGTATGATCAGATTATTCAAAATATATTGCGCAAATGTATCACATAATTCCGATGATCTTCGTCTTCCCATTGCATTATCGAAAAATTTTATTTTCCAAACCCTTAGAATAATTAATAACGGTGGCTAAGCTCTGCATCAATAGGAAAATCAAATTGTGTAACTGTAACACAAAAGGGATATAAATCTCTTAGATCAAGTACAGAGTCGGACAACAAGGTAAGAGACACAGCTAAAAGGCAAATCTTACGAATACAAACTCCGAGACTTAAGATTATTTACTCTGGGTTGTACGACGTGATTTGGTAATGGTACATGGTGCAACAAGTACGTCAAATCATAACAATACAAACATCATCAACATTCAGATAACTGTACAATCATTTTTCTTTGTAGCTCAACCGAATTCAAATTTTCTCTTTACAATTTTGTGCATTGTGATAAGCCAACTTACTGCCAGGCAATATGATAGCTATTGATCTTGAAGATCCCGATGCCTTTGAACAAATGCTCTTAACAAGTATATGTGTGATCAGATTGTTTGAAATGTATTGCGCTAATATATCACATAATTCTGATAAACTTCGTCTTCTCATTGCATTAGCAAAATGTAAGCAAACCCGAAAACAACTAACAAATTATCCAGAACTAGTGCAATTGAGTAGCTAGGCTATCGTCCATTGAACATTATCAAGTATCAAAAACCGTGAAGATACAACGAGAAGCAATTGCAAAGAAATCAATCAGTTTATACGGGCTCGTGCCAAAGAAAACTTTTTATTGCAGACAGGTTAACCGGGACGAGCTACAAATAACACCAGCAAAAAAAAGATTCCCAAAGTCCCATTTCATGTGCTGATCTTATATCGTTTATAATGTACACTTTTCATAAAGAACCTTTCTTTACAATTGAAAATGCTGACAACAATCTACAAAAATTTCAATGTACAAATTAATGGTTTATTTATTTGCGAACATTCAAATCCATATCTTACCAGTTGGGTGTGAAAAGAATAGATTAATGATGAGTTAGCTTCGATTATAAACAGTTTAATAACATTGTTATACAATGAGTAATACTATAGGATTAGATCATATATGTTCTTTCTAGATGTCATTTGGTTAGCAAAAACATTGCATAAATGTAGACACAAACCAAGTCACACAATTTTTCCAAATATACTATTTAATCAACAAATAAAGACCCCAAAGAATAAATAAATAACTCATCAGGCAGTTTGATATGAACAAATTTGCTCATATGTTAACATAAAATCCACAAACAATAAAAATCTTCACTTACCAGTACCTATGTAATCAACTTGAATAATTTAGATGATCTATCCGTTTTAAGTTTGATACCTCAAACAATCAGTATAATCATATAGCATCAACCAGACGACAAGTAAAACAACAACACATCTACATATTCAATTTGAGCGCATCTGAAGATGAAAGAGTGAGTACATTTAACAAACAGACTGTAGAATAAAAAAACAACCTTATGACATTCATGGAACAAGATGTATTCGGAGCAGTCTGTCATTACTTATTGCCTAGATACCAAATGACTTCATAAATTGAAACTCTGTGGATTATGTTGTTTTCTTGCTGGTGTGATTTGTAGCTCGTCCCGGTTAACCTGTCTGCAATAAAAAATTTTCTTTGGTACGAGCCCGTATAAACTGATTGATTTCTTTGCAATTGCTTCTCGTTGTATCTTCACGGTTTCAGATACTTGGTAATGTTCAATGGGTGATAGTCCAGCCACTCAAGTAGACTTACTCTAGTCAGTTCATTTGTACATCATGCAGTTTGAGTGAGCATGGTTGTATCAGGTTAGTAAGGATCCTGAATACCAGCACATATCATATTACTAGGAGTTGGTTAGTCACAATGTGAAAATAATAGAGTGATCATTCAAGTTCTGATAGAAAACGATTTTTCAAGAATAACAAATAGGTTAATTGATTGATAATATGTACAGATGGAATTGAAGGAATAAAACAGGAAACGGCGATGATAATAAGAGACAAATAATTTGGTTACTGACATACGGTAATGATAGTCGTGATAATTTATGAAACATTCATCAGGTACAGCTGAGCCAAGAGGAGGATGGCTATGCATGGGTATGTTTTTGTCAAGTCCTCTCTTAAAGCTGTCTACCGAGGAGTTGTGATCACTTCGACTCAGAGTGCATCACTAATGGGGCTAACTCGTAGTGACAACGTACTTGGGTATTTGCTCTTTGATGTGCAGTTTCTTAGAGGTTGTCTTGAGGAAGGTGGTGATGAGATTCTGGTAATATGCTCATGTTGGGGTGGCTTGGCGAACTTAAAATTTCGTATGCCATCATCAAATCACCTCCTATTTATCTGTGGCATGGAGAGAACTATCCCTGGTGTTAAATTTTGTCCCCTTAAGATTTATGTGTTAGACCACTTTGTTACTGATTTATGTATATAATCATAGAGATATCTTTCAAGAAGATAGGGAGCGCAGTGACATTGCGGACTTTAAAGTGTGACCATATGTATGTCTCAAACGGTTTTGGGAACAACTGTGATGTGGTTGGCTCAAGTAGTCGACAGATAACGTAGAAAGATGTGGCTGCCGTGGTTGCACCCTCTGTGTAGTTTGAGCTAGCGTCTAATCTCTCTGCAGTTGGAAGTCCGAGAGCCTGAGAGCAGATAAGATTGCCCTGTTTTCCCAAGGTCATTTTATCTACACTTGACTTCAAAATTCTAGTCTCCTTTGTTAGTCTGAAAAGATGTCAGGTGTTACTTACAGCTACTGCCATTTTCATCATTTTGATTTGGTTGACCACCACTGATCACAGTCGGTCCTTAGAATTTTGGTTAGCCTAGGTCTAATTTATTTACCTTCTTCATCACAATCAGGGCCTGATGGGATGAGTTTACAAGAACTCATCTGTGAAATAGACTTAGTAGAAATCCACTAGTTTTTAGTGACCCGTTGGTTCAAATCACAAGACGATGATGCTACTGTATCCATAGCTGATCGTACATCGTTCCAAGCAACATTTGGGTCAGCCTAATTTTCAGAACTACCTAAATGTGACCTCAGTTGTTTATGGAATCTATTTCTGGCTTTCTCATAGCTTATTTCAACTCTAATATGACTTCATGATGTGGTTTTTCAGAGTCCAGTGAGGTGCAGGAAAATGCGTGCTCGTATTAAAACACGAACAGAGCCTAGCCATGTACTCAAGAGTGAGCGGCAGTCATGTAGAATTATTATCTAAATCGTTATCGGTAATGTTAAAACAATAGATTTAATCCTGAGTTTGTAGATTCGTCAAGATGTGACTACCTAATCTATAAGATCTCATATGGAAGTAACATCATTGTCTACCATGACTTATTGTATCGTGGCAATCCTCAATATAATGTACAACACTTCTGAAGAGAACACTTAGGCTGGGAATAGAGTAATATATTTTTGTGGAACATATGAATTTCACAGGAGTGAACACGCCTACAAGTCTGATCCACGCCATGCCGTTAAATTAATGTCTCTCATTCACCACTCTCAATGTTCTCTTGGTGTTATGATTTGAAGATGACTTCCGGGCAACTATATGTTCAGCCCCGAAGATCATGTGGTTAGAAACCAATACTACTGGTCTTCTGTCAAGCCTCTCCAGTGCGGTCTTAGGAAGTGAAGGGGAAATCGATTGTGAATACAGTGGTCATGAATGCCGTTTAGGTTTTGAGGGAGTTTATAACCTCCTGGTTGCTCACACAATAGTGCCTAAGGCACAACTGCTTGAGGTCGGTCACACACGACCTCTTTGTGAGTAATTTTCGTGTTAGCGCCGTACCTGTTGAGACCTTACCACCAGAGACGGATACCCGTGGGATAAGGTGAGGTGTGCATTCTTAGGATCGACATTTTCTCATCTCACCCCTCTTAGTAAGGTGTTATGCTGACTTCTGAAGAAAACACCTTACTGCCGTCATACCTCTGTATAGTTAGCAGTACGACTTCGCTTTCTGACCTTGAGTTTGCTGTTTTTAGACTTATCGCTCTCTAACCGAACTGTCTGTCACGGTAAGACATTGAGAAACGATTATTTCAGCCAGTATAACCCGATTACTTTATCACGGTAGGCAAGCTCGACCGCCGTATCAAGGTAGAGAAATCGGTTAGCACAAGTAAAGAACAACCAACAAAATTAAAATGAATATTAGAAGTAATTACAGGTTAATTTTTTTTGGTCACTATCATCAATGTCGTATTATGATCTAATTGGATATCAGTACATTTATCTTTGCCTCTACAACAACGGACCTAATCCGTAAATTGTATACATATCATGATATGATTACCTAATCCATAAGATCTTACGTGCGAGTCTCAACATAGCCTGAATTCGCTCGTCCTATCGTGACGATCAGCAACATGAAGTCTAACACTTCAGATGAACACATTTGGGCTAGCAAGAGAGCAACATATTTGACACAAAAACAATAGGTCATATTAAGCGGCAACTCCTTCTTGACCAAGCCATGCCATTTTAATTAAGTGTTTCACGTTCATTATTTCGATCTCCTAATGTTACTTATTGAATGTGAGTCTCAGTAATTATACATGCAGCTTCAATGGGCGTGCGGTTAGGAACCAATACCACAATAGGTTTAATACATTGAGTCTCTACCACAACAGCCTGAATATTCCTTCACCATAAAACACATTGTTTTGGTCACATGTAGTGGTTTGTTACATCACTTATCATCGTCCTTGCTTGCAATTATCGCTGTTATTGACCTGCGATGAAACTTCTCCACCAGACCATTGACAAGAGGATGATATATACTTGTGTGCATTCGTTTAACATTTATCAGCCCAGTTAATTTCTGAATGGCTGACTTTCTATTCACAAAACCCTCTCCGCAATTACCGATGACAGTACTCAAAAAAGTCAGAATTCGATGTTATCGCTTTGGTGCACCCATGTTCTTATAAAGAATGAAATAAGGTTTTGCCAATTTTATGCAACTCTCAAACCAGAAATAGTGACTGAAAAATTACACAAGAATCCGTTTTCTCAGTAATTGCAACAAATTCATTCACTGATACAACAATATTGGAACGGTGCCATATAACGCCTGCCTAAACAACCATATCAAAAATAAATATCACATGCACTTTTGCCAGATATTCTCAATAAATCCAAAATTTAACCACCAGCTGTAATCTAAAGATTTATAATGATTTGAAAGAAAATGTTGTACATTGAACCTAGATTTCTTATTTACATCATTAGGAATGTTGAAGCCGAAATAGATAATTAAACTCACTAACTAGCTAAGAATTAAAGATACGTTTTATTTTTGGGAAACTGGCACAAAGAAATCCATTTACTTACATCAGCTTTTCGAGGAGATATTGAATATTGGATTCAAGTTCATGTAGTGAGCGGGAGGTTCGCCATGTCCAACTTAATAGACGAACTGGTGGCCCATGGCTTTGAAGTTATTCGTGATGATTCTGGACAGGATCTTGTCAAACTTGTATTTATGGATGAAAATGATGACGCTACTGGATGTGCTTTAGTTACACCAGAGGATGCCAAAAAAATTCTATCTGGCCAAGCAACACTACAAAATGCTGTAGATGAAGAAGGCAAACAGGTCCTAACCCTTACTCCAATCGCTGATGGTGACTTAGAAGTGGTTGAACAGGTAAGTTGTTTTCAGAAAAAGGATATCTAAGGCTTTTATTGATAGCCTAAAGCAGATCTGCCTAGTGAACACTCAACTTCAGCTATTCCTGCGGAACTGGGTGGTCATGAACGTCATAAATCAAACAACGAAGAAGTCATCGATAAAGACAATCATGAGGCCGCACAACCAGGCAAATCAACTGTTTCCGAACTTTGCTGTGATGTGGGTGACTCTTTAATTAATTCAGGCGAGGTGGATACATCTGACGTTAATTCGTTGGTGGAAAATGTGGAACAGTATACTTTAAGCGAACAAACAGCGGTAGTGGATAACGGCCAAGTTCAAGTTGTCACGATCATAGATTCCCGTGGTCAAGTCTTGGATCAGAAGCAAGGACAAACTGGAGAACAAGTCATTTTAGAGATGCATGGACAGGCGTTTTCGTACGAAATTCAGGGTCCCACGTCAACTGGTGAACCTATAACTGTAATTTGCCATTGCCTTTCAATTTTCACTCTTGTTTTTGGGTGTAATAAAATTTTTTCTGTTTTTAATGCAAGCAGTAGTAGCAAGTTCTTCATAGTAACATGTCTCCTCGTAGATCATAGACCGTCGACCAGGAATCTCCAATGTAACTTATCCCTCGGCTCTCGAGCGAATACCTTAATATGAATATAGCTTTTATTCAAAACCTACACGTTTTGGTACACAGTATGTGACCATGTTCAGACATTTTGACAAAGAAAACACGTACTTAAATCACTTAGT